AGGAAAAAATGATATAAAAATTTTCTTGCGAGAAAGTGCAAAAATATTTTGATTTGCTTCAGAAGATTCTGCCTTTCTTTACTGATGCAGGTACATTTCAAATTTTACTAAATATATAGTGTAGTAATTTTTTTAGAAAAAACTATTCATATCATAATTTTAAGATAATTTTTGACTAGAGTAAAATTGTATTTACGTTAAAAGTGAAGAAACACACAGTCAGAGTTAATAGAAAACTTTTATAGCTTTTTAATGCCAAGTTTCAATTACTAAAAAACTACTCGATCAATTCTGACATTCTCAAAAGTGACTAGTGCATCCGGTGTGCGCTAGAAAGGTGTCATTTGCCGCGATCAAACATAATCACAGAGCAAGTTCGGTTGACTTTGAGAAACACCCCCGCCAGCATCTTGACACGAAAGTGCAGCTCTCACAAAAAGCGGTGGCGGCGGCGGGCGTGTCAGTCAGCAGTCATGATCAAAAGCAGTTGCACCTCTGGCAGGCAGGCAGGCAGGCTGAATTATGATTGTTTTCAGCCAAGAGTCTCATTAGCTTTCTCTCTCGAGCAAGGGGCGAGCCAATCGCCAGTCCACATCTCTCACTCGCGCGCGCGTTGCATGCCGGACGGTCAGAGAAAAGAAAAGGGATCAGAACGTTTACGAAAACCCACTTCGGTCCGAAATTCATTTCAAGCCAACCCGTTTTTTTATAACATAGCCCTTGAAACGTAAATTATTTTGTTCCCATGAATATTAAACCATTTTCTTTGTTTTTGTTAAATATTATCTCAAATTTACTGGTTATTTTGGTTTTCCCTTCAATTCAGGAATGAAAAAGCTACTGAATTATTTGAAGAATGATTCATTTTGAAGCTACATCAGTGTTATGAAGAGTCCAGTTGCACACAAAGTTTAAATTTTCATATTATTATCTCGGCAAATAAAAATCAAAACGTTGAAAAAAATCAATCAAAATTAATGTTTCTATCATTTCCAGACTTAAATTGATAATAAGTAATTGTAGAAGAATGAAGAAAAAAATTGAAAAAAAAAACACTCGAGATTGATTAAAAAATTTCGAATTAAATTGGGTGACCCCCACATTATACACACCGGGCAGGTGCATTCGATGCTGATTTTATCACCGAATTCAAAACACAGAGAGGGTGTATAATGAGATCCATCCACTGGGGCACTGCACGCTTGCTTTTATTCCACCGAGCGAGCGTTGGTCTGGCTTGTTCGCTATAATCCTCACTTTAGTCTGATGATAATTAAACTCGCACGCCAGACAGCACACCGAGAGTCATCATTTTTATTTAACCCAAGCTCAGCCTATAATTAATTATCGAATTTTATCTGCTACCTACCCAGCAGTGGTGCGGAGCGGCGCTTCGTCTTGAGCCTCCGCCGAGGGCCCCATTGTGCACACAGAGTCGATTCGCGCCCCACAGATATGTGCCACTCGCGCTCTCTCACTCCATAATAATGCTAATGCCCAGCGAGTGGCGCGGCCGGCCGCACGAATCTATGGGGTTTCGCCTGATGATAATTGCATACAAGAGTAATTTGGCTTCGAAAGTCGCATTTAATTTGAAAATGAAGCCAAGCAACATTTCAAGCGGCTTTTGCATTTATTTTTTTGTTATTCCGCTTTGTGTGGTGGGAGGGGTGAACGCGAGTCTCACTCTTGTGCATGTTAATTTTGGGCGGCGTAATTTAGTTGGAAATTTCAACACTTTCTTCCCCATTGTTTGAGAGACATTGAATCAGAAGCGCGGCGTTTTCCCTTCTTTGAAATTTTGGCACATCTGGGGAGTAAGACATTATATTACACATTATATTACACAATGCCTTATTAAGTTTAGCAAGGAATTATGTAACTTTGCTAACTTAGTCTGTTGCACGAGCTTTCAACGATTAATTATTTGCTTCAAAATGGATAACAATATAAGACTGCTAGTAAAACATAATTAATTAAGAAATTCATATTAGATTAAAAAATTATCCAGAGTTCTTTAAGTATTAGTTTTCTTAGCATAGAATTTAAAAAAACTTCAAAAATGGCTTCTTATAAAATTCTTGATCTATTTCTAAATTTATTTTATTTAAAGAAGATGATTTAGTATTCTAACCAAAATTAAAAATAATAAGCTAAAACAAATGTTCATCCAAAAATCCAAATCCCATTTTTTAATTAGTGGGGATCAGACTACAAAATGAAATTTCAGAGGAGAAAAAAAAATATTAAATTATGTTGTTCAACATTATTATCTTGTATTTCACCCATACTTTTTTAATAGTTTAGAATCGCATGTTTTTTTCAATAACTTAAATTGTCAAGAAAAGGTAAGAATCCATACAGTAATTCAATTGCTAGGAGTCAAATTTATTTTAGCACTTGCATTTTTTTTTAATAAGTTAGCGATACAAACTCCCCTGAGAAAATAATAAATTTGCTTCCATTGGCATACTCATACTATTTTGTAAATGTAAAATCTTTGGCAAGTTAAGTTCTGATTTCGCAAACATAAACTCAACGTTTTCTATAGCAAAAAAGAATCTGCAAGCAATCATATTTTACTAGCCAATTTGTACTGCGGCCGAAAACCAATAAAAGTGATTGCCTATTATTTGTGAAAATATTTTGCTTATTGTTAGAAGAAAGCGATCTGTTCGTTTTTGACGACCAATCAAAATCCACTCGCCCAGCGTCGGAGGTGGTGAATTTACTTGCAGACTGCAATGAATAATTCATATAGGTGCTTGTCAAAAAGTACTCACACTCAGTGTATAAACAACATGCTGAGAGAAAGCCGAGGACATAAATCTTTTCGAGCACTTCTTTATTTTCTCTCGTCGGCACGTCTTCGCATGTCTCAATAAAAAGGCGCAAAAGCAGAGAGAGCTTGGCCGGCGAATAACAAATCAGCAAAGTACATAAATCTCGGCGGCGTACATCAAATCCCTCATCCAAGACGAGACGGATGGATGGACCGTTTGTGCTTTTGCTGGAAAAAAGTAATCAGCCGGCGATCTGGTTATTGCGTCATAAACAAAACCATGATCGGCGGTACATATGTATAATATTTTTAGTCGCTCTCATCTCGGGAAAAATCTTTTTTCGCACACTTTTGATGTCGTCGTCTTTTTCTCTTTCTCACTTCGGCGGACAAAGTGAATTCTCATTTCAATCGCAGTGACGACAGAAATGAGTCTTTTGAAATGGAAGTTTTCGTCACACGCAAGTTTTTGTGTGATTAACGATTGCCGAATTTCATTTCCAAGTACGACCGTCAGTGTTTTTCTCGCTGGAGGCTTAAGACGCCACCCTGCCCTCGGGCTTATCCCTGCGCACCAAACTGACACAAACAAACAGAGCGAGGCGTTATTTTATTATTCTCGAACGCGCGCGGCCACGGGTAAATACCGTGAGTGTACAAAAGAGCTGCAGAAACCAAATAAGCGCCGCAAAACAGGTCTTTTGTACAGTGTGCACTCTAACACCACTTTTCCAGACGAAAGACCATGGCCGGTAAACAAATAAGAAAAAACGGCTGTGGAAAATAACGATAATCCTTTTCCCACCTTGGATGATTGCAAAAAATCTGACCTTTCACCCATTCAACCACCAAATTGGGTGTAAAACATAACGTATCAGTTCGATTAATCACAAAATGTTTTTTACTTAAAAAACAAAACTGTTTCAATAAATTGTAAGCGCCAAAGAAATGAAAATCTATATATTAATTTAAAGTAATCAATATTTAATAATTAGTATATTTTATATTATTATACAAAAATATTTTCATAATTTTTTTTATAATAAATTTGTTTTTTTCCCAAGAAGTCCAGAATTATTTTACTTGTAAATTGTGTTCAATAGCATCACTACAAGCAAAAAGAAGTTTTTTTTTATTTATGTCATTTTCATTCCAGAGTTGTAATTTTAAGCGTGAGTTATAAGTCTTGCGAAATATGTTTTGACTTGCAATCTGTGGAGAGTGATTCATTTACACAACGGACATTCAAGTTGTAAGTATGGCAGGGTGAATCAGATTAGGGAGTCAAGTCATTGCCCATTCAAACGGTTCTCTTCCGTGTGGGCAGGAAGGGTCTGCGCCAAGCTTTGTTTGGTTTGAAATAACTTTCAGCAATTTTACGCAGCATTAGCCAGGGCTTTTCACTAACAATCCATTAGTAAGTACACAACAGTAAACTGCATTGCGGTAATTTAAAAAGAAAAAAATATTATTTCTGGTCTACACGAGTTTCTTTCCAAATCAATGTATTAATTAAAATAATATTCGCTTTTGTATAAAAAGACACTTTAGAGTTTAAATTTAAACTGAATTGGAATTTTGAATTGGAAACTCACAAAAAATGTGGTGGAATTAATTTAATAGGTCTTTACAACTTCCATATTTAAAGAATTGAATCATTGAAAGGAACTCTATGTAGATATCTTTAATTAAAATAAAAATCTTAAAATGTAATTGACTTGAATTTTTTATTTTTAATGAATAAAATATTTTTTATGGTAAGCTCAATTGAGTACAACTTTCAACTTCAGTTGTTCCAAAATAAGGAATTAATTATTCCTTTGAAGAGCTATTTCTACAAAATGCACACTCGGAGCATTCTACTGAAATAGGGAGATGCTAAATTATTTGTACCAAAAGGAATTTGGCGGGTTGAGAGTGAAATTCTGTAAGTTTTCCGCGAACATGCCACGTTGCATGTGCCCGAGCATGGAGTGCCGAAAACACGGGCGGAAGAAAACAAAAGTAAACCGCCGCAAGACATGCATGCTCACTAACAAACCCCCTATCGAATTAATTAGATATTCTGATCAGGCAGGCACTCCTGTGTACGCCGCCGCAGCAATAATTAGTCAGCGAAATTCGCGGGCTGGCAATTACAGCGTGTAGCGAAACTTGATCACGGCGATACATCATGGGGGATTATTTGCAGGGGCCCAACACACAGACGCAAACTCACCGGCAGCAGCAGCAGCGGGACTAAAATGTTGTTGCTCCGGAGGCCTCCATGCAAATAAATCACTCGCGCACTTACTCTCCCGAAAGGGTTAAAAAAGAAACGAAATCTCGGGGGCGCCGCGAGCCGCGGGCGGCGCCGCAGCAACTTTGTTCATCCTCGAGCGGGCGCACGACTAATGAGTGGAGGGTGCGAGCACGCACTGCTCCATCCCTTCTGCACTTTGCTTGCGTTCGTTTCGTTCGTTCGCCCCGCGACGCGATAACAGGTGGGTGCTGCGAGCAGCGGCGCCGCTGCGCTCTCTGCCTGTGCGTTTCTCTGCCACCGCCGGCAAGTAATCTCCCTCCGACCCTCCCTCCGGCTATCTCGTCACAATGCAACTTGGCAAAAGTGCACAAAACGAACGAATTTTTTATCGTCACGTTTGTGTGGTTTTTGGGGGTAAAAGGCCATTATTTTATTTTTATTTTTAGAAACAAATTTGGTCCCTTGGAAATTATTGTAATTTTCTATATTTAAATTTTTTTTCTCAAATTGTCAGTGATTTTGAAAGTTTTCAAAAATTCATTAATACTTCTTGTTTCTCCTTTGACGAAATATATCAATAATCTCTCACCAAAATTAAGTAACACGTGATTTTTCATTATGGTAATTATTCACAGCGATCATTGGATTCATAATGAACTTATTAATTACCATAACACTCTAATAAAAATAACTAGAGGATTTGTTACTTGATAATTGTCAGACTTTTTGAAGCAAAATTAACAGTGGTTCAAAGTTTTTGTAATTTTTTAAACCTTGATTTAATAAAAAAAAAAAACGAAACCTTTTTTTAATTGAAATAATTTTTTCCGTTAATTACTAAATGTTTGCGCATGTAAATAACTTTTGCTAGAAAAAGAAAAAAATATCAACTCTCTCTCTCTCTCTTCATATGTATTTTAAGTCCTGTTTTAATTGATTACAATCAGCATAAAACGGATGTTTTTGTTTTATGTAATTCTTCAAGAAGTTATCATGATGGACACTTAATAAAATAAAATTTATTTTTTCTATCTGGAAAATCTGATTGATGATTGATGATAAAAAAAGATGATAGTGGTGAACGGTGGAGGGAATTTCATTACAGCAAACGTGATTTGTGCGCGACTGATTGATTTCAGAGGCTTGCTTTTCGCACAACCCTGCTTGATATATCTGTGGAACGCAATCAATTTCTCGTGCGGATTAATTAGCTGCCTCTTGTTTTCTCTCTGCGTGCGATTAGTAGCAGCGTTTTATCCTGCTCTGGCAGAAACAAAGAAAAGGACCTTCTTTCTCCGAAATGGAGAGACCAACCGTCGTAGGTATATGGATGGATCGTTGTCTCGAAAGATGGCACGCTTCGATGACTGGCTTGGTCTTTTATTGTTCTTGTCGGGCTTCAAACATCTTCTCCAAGATGACAGTGGCGGCACCGAGATTCCAAGAACCTGCATGGCCGAATTTAATATCTGGAGGCAAAGTAAGTAAATTAAAATTTTAATTTTTGCAAGAGCAAGATAAAAAAAAAGTTTGTCGAAAATAAAATATTATTTACATTGAAACGTTTTTCTTTTTAATTGTTTGTGATGAATAAATTAGTTTTATATTTTAAAAATAAATTCTTACGTTATATTTTCTCATTCTTAAATATATATTTACAAGTAAAAAATCGTCAAAACGATTTATTTGTAGGAGTTTTGCATAATTAATTTTAAAAAAATAAATAAAATAATTTTCAGAGACTGAATAATTTTTTTACTTAAATCTGTTTGATGATATTGGTTAATATTGATGTAAAATTTATGATCAAATTTAATTTCGTTTGTTTCATCCCTCTACAAATTCAAAACCGGGACACTGCATATTTTACAAGAAAAGGAAACCATTATAGGGAACATTATTATTATTTGATCAGAAAAATTATTTCCAATAAATCACTTTTTCCGCATTCCGCCACTGCTGGCCTCAAATATTAACAAGCGGAAAAAGATGGATCGGTGAGCCCTTCCTGCGTTGTGCACCCTCTCGTCGGTGGTGAACGCAGCAGCTCAAAAAGCCCTTGACTCTCTTTCTAATAAATTTTACGAGTTTCCTGAGCAGGTTTCCTGGATTTCGTTATATTATTAGCGGCAAATGGAACAGTCCCTCGCCGCGCGCGGCCCAAGTGAAAGATAGAGCGCTGCGCCGAGCCTGCCAATCGCGCCGATGAAATGACGGTAACTAAGCAACCAACCCTCAAGTGACGTGCACCAACTTTTCATACCTACAATACCACACAACACACATCAACCTTGCATTATATGGGCATTACACACACCCGCCTGCACTCCAGCCTTCAATAAAAAATAAATATAAATGAAAAGCATCACAGTTGCATTGAATTGATCAAGGTTTTATTTGCATTTTTTTTTAATAAACTTTTTGTGATTTGCTGAGCCTGACACACTTTTTCTTTACACTCATTCGATTACAGAAAAAGCCTTGTTCATATTCAAGATTACTTTTCCTTAACACACACGGTTCTGCATAGAAAGCCAACGGAGAGTGCTTTATGAATTATTTATCACTCTACCAAGCAAAACGTCGTCTTTTGACAATTCTGATTGACATTTCCAACGAGGGGGAAAACGTTCCGCGAAATTGTGACCGACTGCGTGGGCGCGAGTAATATATTTCTGTTCTTTATTTGAGGAACGAGCCGAATGAAATGAAAATCTTAACAGTTCTCATTTTTAACACCGACTGACCACAGTGTGATTAAATCTACCTTTTGGTTAAATAAGTAAACTTGATGATCAAATTTCCCTTTGTATATATTTTTTAAGATTTTAAGAAAAATAATCTTTTTATCACCTTAATTTTGCCAAAAATATTTTGTAAAATAAAAACAAAATCTTTTCTACGAGGCTCACTGTGGCGGATAGGTTTTTTTATTTCCAAAGTTTTAGCAAGAATTTTGCTAAAACTTTGGAAATAAATAAACCTATAAACACATTCATGAACTTCCACTTAGTTATTATTATTTATTCTTCTCGGTCAATGAAAATTCACGGTAGATTTTTTATAATTCATTGGCAAACATTAAATTGCACATAAAAAGTACACAATATAAAACTATTGCGGAAATCATACATTTTCGATCTGTTGCTTGAAAATAGGAATTGAAATTCATGATCTAATTTTTTGTTACACATTCACTATTTTCCTTTCCTAACCCTAATTTTTAAACTTCCTCATCACCTATATTTTTATCATCTCTAATGGAGGCATGAAGTTAAAAAAAAAATGCTTGATACTCCTGATGAGTGATGACTTTTACACGTGTACTTTGTTTTCGAGGCACGCGCTTGTGTACAATCGCACCCCGCTGATTTTCCGGGCTACTTTTCCAAAAATAGCACAGCTCCCTCTTGCTTCGGCCCCGGCCGATGGCGGATTGAATTGTGCAGCTTCCGACGCGATGGCTCTATACACGCGTCATTATATATATTTTATATATATCGCGGCTCACAGCTCATTTGCTGCGTCTTGGCAAACAGTCTCTGCGGCAGCACAGTGTCAAATCTGGGCACCAACTTCGTGTCATATCAGCAATCCGCAACCCTCCTCGGCTCATCAGCTGCTCCTTCAAGAGCCCTTTAAATGCTGCTTTAGTCATCAATGTGCATTCTACACCACGTCTCCTGCTGGCAAACTTTGCTTGTCCCCATCAACCCCATCCGTGCGAATGCGGTGGTTATCGAACCAAAATCATAAAATGCAATGCATAAAATATCACTTTTTAACCCCCCCCCCCCCCAATGCCAACATATTAAACGATTTATATCTTAATCACTTGCTAAATGTAAATGAATGCTTGGAAATGGATCCTAATTTTTCAGGAAAACAGTTTGCAAAAATTATGGATTTATTTTAATTAATTATTGCTATTATCATGAACAATTCAAAAGGTTTATCACATTTAATTAAGTTTTATTCAAATAATTGCTATTGTCAAGAAAAATTCCAGATTTGTTTTTATTTGATTTAAATATAATTTTAGATTTATCACATGCAACCCCCCCCCCAATATCTGAGAACTTACTATATAAATCTAATAATTCTCTTTTAATTTGATTTATTATCTTCCAGGTTTTTAACAGCAATTAAGCTAAGAACAAGGTCAAGAAAAAGTTTCATTAATTGTCATAATTAAATTTGTTTTAAAGGGCAAATATGCAATTGGAATGAAATTTTTATTATATACAGCAAGACGGTTCAACTTCATTTATTATTGCACAAAACCACAACAATTAAATCTCCGCAGCCCATTGCAGTGGTGCAGTTGTCAGCAATATATTCATCAACGATTTAACTTTCGGAGTTGTTCTTATACACTTAAAATTTATAATGCATTACATACTGGCAGTGATGTAGCAGAAAACTGGCTGAAATTCACACAGACACTTCACAAACACCACAGGGACTTTTGACAAAGAAACAACTTGTCACGCGTTATAATCATCTATTAGATTTAAAAAATTCCTCCCTCCATTGGCACAATATCAAAACATCAAACCTGTACGTCACAAGTAATATTTGCTTAGATAACATTCACAGGACAAAGCAAACAAGTATTTTGGAAAATTCTATCTATGGAGGTTCACAAGGAAATTTGAGATTGTGACAAATTATTTAACTAACTTCTAATCCCTATCTGAATTTCATTTTTGGTTCTCAACCTCAGCCAGCCTCCTAGCTTCGAGTTCCTCCACCTTCTGCTTGTACTTTTCCAATGTGTCCTCAATGGTCGCATCCGAGTACCGACAATTTTCACTGCCACAGGTGCAAGTGAAAGACTTGCATTTCACAATCCAGAACTTTTCCCCATAATCAAACCTTGAAAGAGAAATTCCGAGTTAAAATTTTGAAAGTTCCAGCCAGAATCAAAATTTCCCAAATTACTGAGGTGAATGAAAATGAAACAAAATCATTACAAGATGATAATTTAATTGAAAAATAAAAACCACCAAAAGGAAACTGTACAAAAAGTTCAAACTTCAGCTTTTGGCCAATAGTTCGAAGCAAAAACATGCACAACAGCGCAACACAATAAAAATGTGTTAATATTTCTACATAATCTATGAGATTATTTCTTTTTGAACTTTTCATACCCTAGTTCCTCATCAGCTGCGATATCTCGGTTTGCAAATAGTGCAATGCGCGGGAACTTCAGATCTTGATGGTCGATGAATACTTTGACAGGCATCAGGTTCGGAGTGCACATGTGGTTGATGAACCGTGCTATGTTTCCATACTTCCGGGCATCGATGCAGTAGGTTTCACCTTCACGATTGTCCAAATCAAAGAGGTACGAGTCATCTTCCCTACTGTCAGCCTCACAGTCTGTTATCACCTCTCCGATGTACCTGAAGAACACATTTTAATTAATAATGCTTCACAATTGGACCGTTTGTTTTGGAATATTGAATTTTTTTTTTTTTAAGAAAACTCACTCGCAAACATATGCTCCTTTGGGAATAGGCCTCAAAGTTCTGACGCCCCAGCCTTTGCCCTCTGTGCGGAAAAGTTGAAAGCGCACAGTCGGGCCATGCTGCACGACGCGGTTGTTACAAGTGACCTTGTTGCATGCGCAACCAACGTTGCACTCAAAAAGCAACGGCGGGTCTGCATAATTGAAGTCTGGCAGCAGCCGACCCTCTTCATCAAACCAGCATCGCAGACTGAAGTGCGCGCACAAGCAGTTTGCTGTGCTGCAAGTGTCTGTGCACCTGCAGGACTGAAAAATAGATTCAAAACAATAAGATTTAATAACAAGGTTTCAAATTAAATTACTTGGAGAGACGTGATTTTTCTATCAACGCGTATGTCAGATGTGAAGCAGTTTTCGGTAACATACAGAAAGTCTGCTGGTACCGCCTGGTCATCGACTCCGTTGATGACTTGAATGGGGTTGTTCTCTTTGCCCTTTGATATGTCGCTGAAATAATCAAAATAAAATTAATTTCAATTTCTAGCTGAAATTATTCTCCTTACTTAGATAATATTCGTTTGGTTCTTTCTTGGGTGTTTGCAAGTAGAGCTTGCAGTTGTACATTCATGTTGATTGCAGTCCAGCAGTCGGAGCCTTCAGTAGGACAACAGTCCAGAGGTCGGTCCCCATTTAAGTTTTTGGCGTCGACTTGGGCACCCCTTGCCAAAAGCAGGAGAACGACTTCGTAATTATCTTGCCGAGAGCCAATGTGCCTAAAATACATTTATTTACAAATATTTTATTAGATTTAAAATAATTCATTACAATGGTGTGTCTCCTTGAGCATTGGCAGCGTTGACGTTGCAGCCGCTGTTCAGCAACAACTCGCAGATATCGGCACTACCGGAAAATGTGGACCAGTGCAGGGCAATATTCTGCTCCGTGTCTCGAATAAGAGGATCAGCCTTCTTTGTAACTAAGTACCTGTTTGATTTTTTTTTAACATTGGGATCAAGATAATTATTTTAAAAACAAACTTCACAATGCCGAAGTGGCCGTGTTCGCAAGCCCAAACCAAAGCAGTCCAGCCTCCATCATCCTGAGCATCGAGGAGTGTTCTGGTGGATGTGGTATTTTGTTCTGTAAGGATCAAAGTGCAGGCTTCGTAGTTGCCATTCTTGGCAGCCAAGTGGAGAGCTGTCATGCCATCGGTGCCCTTTAAAGAAAAGCAGAATAAATGTAGAGAAAATTTCCTAAGTAAAAAATATTAATTAACAAGATTTTCAGTCTAGGTTTAGGATTCGTCACCTGTTTTAAAAGAAATTCAAATTGCTTACTTTGATAATGAGAGAGGCCCCAGCTTTAATCAGGTATTTCAAAACAGGATTGTGCTCTGTGATGACTGCCTGCATCAAAGGAGTCATTTGCTCACTGTCCATCACATCCAGCTGGGCTCCAGCCTGAACAAGAAGGTGGACCGTAGCCAGGTGACCCTTTTCTGCCGCAGCATGCAGGGCGGTCTTGTTTCCATTTTTGGTGAATACGTGGTTGAGATTGTGTCCGAAACTGAGAATGTTCAACACATACTCCGTGTCTCCATCGGCGGCAGCGTCGAACAGATGTTCTAATGTGTACTTTGCCTTGTCTAAAATGTTGGGAGGAGCTTCGGGCAAGACAAATGAAGATCTTGGCAAGAGATCCTTCTTCTCTCCTTTGCTGTCCGGGAAACTCATTTTGGCGGATTTACTAAGAATGAATTCAAACTTAGGTGTTTCAACAAAATTTATGAGGGACTAAGTTATTACTCTTTGCGTAATTGTCTCTGGTGAGGCAAGAAAACAGGTTTCTTTGGCATTTTCATTTCCAACCTGACGTCAAAAGTTGGACTCATAGAACCGCAGTGAGGGCAAAGGCCCTCCTTTCCTCCGCTGCCAATGGGAAGCTGGCAGTTTCGGTGGAAGTGGTGGACTTTTCCATTAAACTCGCATTGAACAAATCGTCCCTGAAATTATAAAAAAAGTAAAAAATCAATTATGGACACAAAAAATTGTCATTGAATTACTTGTGAACAAAATATTCCACAACCGGGACAGCAATTGTGCAGGGAGAGACGGTAGGCGTGGCTCTCACAAAGGAGCATGTAGGGAACCTTCGCTGAAGGTCTTCGCAGTCTGGTGGTTGATGCAAGTTTGCAGCAACCGACCAACGTTTCGTCAACACTTTCAACAGCCTAAAGTTCAGCAAAATTAATTTTTTATATAAATTAATTCTAAAAAAAAATGTACCTGACAATACAGTTCCTTGGAACCAGAAGTGTCTTCTCCATCGGAAGTCTGCACAGGCTCAACAGAGCAAATAGACGCTCGGGGGCCCTTGCGGGTGCGGCAGAAACACATGACACGGTTCATTGCAGCGTTAGCCTGAAAATACAAATTTCAATTAATATCTAGTTGGCTCCAGATAATTAAAAATCCACACATTTGGATCTGAGCCGGATTTTGCTTTGGATGGATTTCCACTGTCCGAGGAAGAGTCTCCTAAGACGGGAGAGGTCCGAGCTGTCCTTCGTAGCCTCTTTCGAGCGTCCGAATCTGGAGATGCAACTGAAATATACATTTGAAATAAAATAAAGGCTTTTTCTTGAAATTTTTTCCTTCCAAAATTCATAATTTGGGCAATTCATCAAATTCTTCATTATATCAATTTTAAATCTAAAAATTACAACAAACCTTCTTGAGATTCATCCTCCTCAATGCGCCTCTTATTATCCAAAGAGGAGGGTGTTCCCGGAGGAATACTTTGCTTGGCCGTAGGAATATCCTCCTCATTTTTTACTGAACTGACACTCTCGTTGTCTTCCGACTCAATCTGCTCCTCTTTGACCTTGTCCAGGGATGCGGACGAAATGTCCGAAGCAGCGCTGGACACACTTTCAGCCACTCTGGCCTTCTTCTTGGGCATCGAGGGCGACAACGCTGGCGGCGGCGACTTGACAGGCACGGTGGGCGTTTTCTTTTTCAACACTTGCTGCGTCGGCCGGACGTTGCTTTTGCTAGTACCGGAAGTGCTGCCGCTACTGCTGCTGGGCGGTGTGGACAGGAAGGACTTTTCCTTCCTGGCGATGGCCGACTGCAAGATCGAGCCGCCCGAGCCCTTTTGGTTTGACCGCCTCGTCGACCTCTTCAGCTCGGTGCTCTCGGCCGCCTCGTCCCCGGACTTGCTCTGGCTGCGCAGGGAGCGTCGTCCGGCAGGGTCCGAGTCCTCCAGACCTTCAGCCGACTCGGCCTCCCCAGCACGGTTGAACTGGTTCTTCATTGCACCCAAAAGTTGGCTCATCAGGGCCTTGCCTTTGCCACCTTTCTCCTCCATTTGGCGACAAATCTAGACAAGAATTAGAAAGTTTGCAGATTAATATTAAACGAAAATTTAAAAACATATAAAAAGGTTAAGCACTTGCAAGATTGAAAAAAAATCTGGTTGTGATTTTAAAAGTTACATACGTATACATTATTATATTCTTTTTGTATCTTTTGGATTGAAAAATAAAAACAAAATTCCAAAAGATTAAATTGTTTTGACCAGAGTGAGGAGTTTTCAGGATCAATTTTCAAAACTTGAGCCCTCTCTAATGTAACAATGAAAAAATTAAGCCTCAAGGGATGCGCAAAACAGAAGGGAGATGGACAGAAGTGACCAACACATTAAAATTCGGGAACCAATAACTCTTTCGAAAAATCAAGCTTTTCAGTATTAAGCACGGTGTTGAGGCTTCATCTGGAATCAGCATTGTGATCTTAGGGAGCCCTTTTGACAATTATAAACAGGTCTCTTACCAGAATTTAATCACAAACAGCATCCGCATCCCTGCATTTTGTCTTCAATCTTCTTGCAGTCGCGTTTGTTGCGCAGGACAGCTGGGTGCTGCTGCTTTTTCCACCAGCCAGCGTTGGCAGCGTTTGCGATTGCGCGTTCGCGGCGTTTCTTGCGGCCCACGAGCCGAACCTGCGGCGGGAATTGCCGAAAGCGACAATCGGATACAACCAAAGAAGAGAGGCGGGCGCTCTTTTATTCCTGTATTATGGAAACGTTTAAAATTTAATTTACATGATGCAAGCAGGAAAAGTAGATAAAAATCTTTAATTTTTTCGGCCCTTTAATATTTTATTATTAAAGAATGTGGAATATGGATGAAGAGCGAGGGCTGATTGTTTTTTCACTTTTTTTTGGTCTGAAGTTCGCCAATATGTTTTTGTAGTGGTTAAATTTTTGCAAATTTATTTGTATCCCAAATATTTATTTTAAACCAAAATTGAAACGACAAAAAATCCTCCAATGTTAGTTCAGCTGTGGACGAATCTGAGGACAAAAACAAGGCCGCAACATACAGCTGAATTTCCGGCATTTTTGCATCCTCTGGAAAAATTAAAAATAATAGCCTTGAAAATAAATGGCCGCTGGAAACTAATTAAAATTTAGATCATATTTTCATTTTTATTAATTTCTTGCGTTTCTTTATCCCAAAGAAATTTAGAATTACTTTTCTGCAGCTGAAATTATTTTTTTGTTGTAAAAATAAATTTTTACAATTGATAAAAACAAACATATATTATCATTTTTACTTGAAATTGATTAGATCAAAAACTCTCTGCTGACGTACTCGACATCAACTTCCTGTGTCCATGATGGTACCACTATAAAAGTTTGCCCATTTCAAATATTTCCCTATTCAGTGGTTTGAACAGCCACCAACATGAAAGGACATGCAGCACTAATTTTAGGGGTATTTCAAATTTTCAATTTCAATTTTGTTTCCTATCTTCTTAAATCTTCAAGCTGCTTGCCTTGGTTCATTCACAATCTTTGTACACCGGCCCAGTTGAATATCTTCAAACTGTCACTGTGCAAAGTATGACATATATTTATAATAATGGCAAATTTTGAGTGGTATAGCTTTAAAATATTTCTATATATTAAGACACTGTGGTTACATCCAACAATGCTGGCACGCAAGAATTAACAACTGTGCGCCCAAATATGACTATAAATAATTCTTCAACCACGCTTGAAGAAGACGAAGAAGGGGATTATGGCGATGAATTTGACAACATGACGGCCATATCTAGTATGTACATAAAAAATTAGTTTTAAGGCTAGAGTCATTAATGAAATAATGAAATTTTGCAGATGAATGCAAAACATGTAAGAAGGAAATGCTGCATTTCCATTTATTTATTTTTATCTAAAATTAACAATGTTCAATTTTGATAGTTTTGGCCAATTTAACATTTGAGTTGTCAAAGGACAAGGTGTGTTTTTGTGGAAATAATCTCCGAAATAATTCGTTTTCATTATTTCTACAAAATTTGTAGCAAGTGTGGGACAGCGCCAGATATTTCTGTCACAAAAAGGGGATGGAACTTATTACTGTTGATACAGAACAAAAGAGCACTTGTCTCCAAGAATTTTTGCAAAATGAGGGTATAATATTCAGATTTAAAAGAAGAAGAACTACTCAATTTGACTGGATTTCGAATCAGAAATGCGCGATGTAAAATTTTTAACTGGTCTCCAAGTCAATTCGGACAAAACCGGAATTTGGTCGGCCGACAAAAGCAAGGCCACATACATAGGCTGGGCTGACAGTTCGCCAGCAAAATTCAAATGCATGGCACTTTGGTGATATTTAAAAGCGGGCGGAAGTTGGTTGACGATTTTTAATTATTTTTCAACAATATAGGCGTGACGCTGCCTACAATGTTGATTGCAATGAAGTCAACATGTACATTTGCGAGAAAAATCCAAATGCAGCCGCAGTACCCGAAAACCTTCAAGATCTTTGCAAAAAAGGTTAAAAAAAGATAATGAAGTTAATTATAAAATTCTGAAAGTATAACCTGATTTGTTTTAAAAATTTTACTATACAGACGTCAAGTATGAAATTGTGACTCAGCCGGTAGAGATATAATATTATATAACTTTAAATGGATATAATACAACAATTTTAAAAATTATAATTTAAGGCTAACTGGGCTACAGCAAGATTTATTTGCAATAGCAAGAAAATGGACCTTGTGAGTTTGGAGACGTTTGAGGAGAATTTGTGCATTTTGGACAAATTAATCAAAGCTGGTAAAATTTTTTCTTAAATTTAACAAGAAAACATTAAAATTCTGAAATTGCAAAACTTATATGTTTAGATAGAGAATTTTTTTATATGCTTCAGTTTCAAACTTTTCGCTAACATTGAACATTTTAAAAATAAGAGCCAAAATATGTGACCCCAATCAGGCCCTAATTGTGACAAAAAATACCTTATAACATTTGTATAAGATTATGGAATTAAATTTCAGAGATGTCCCTTAAAGCTGTTTTTACGTCTTTGAGTATAAACGAGGGCGAAAAGAATTTCACCTCGTGGGCAAGTAAGGAGATGTTAAGCTACTCCGTTTGGGGATCAGGACAGCCGAATGATTACAATGGAAAGGAGAAATGCATGGCCCTATAGTAAATTTTGTACATTTTTTTTAAAATAAATTTTAATACTGATAATTTTTTTAAGTAAAAATGCATGGCATGACATTAATTGTGAAAATGAATCACCGTTTATATGCGAGAGTGTTAATTACAATGTACCAGCTCCTTGCAAGGACGGCGGTAAATATATATTTAAAAAAATGAAATATGTTCTGGATAAATTAGGATAATAAATAATTTATAGAGAGCGCAAAATATACTGTTTCTACAACTACTGTAAGTTGGAGTAAGAAATTGAAAAGTCTTAAAACTATAATGGTCAAAATTCATGCAGGCAACCAACGACATAGCAATGAAACAATGTCTTATAATGGGACAGCAACTCGTTTCTATTGAAAGTTTGGAAGAAAACAATTGCGTCAAATCGCTCATTATAAATGCCAGTGCGTATTATTGTATTGATTTTTTTTATTTAAAACTTAATTAATCACTCTAGATTTGACGAACAAACAAGTTTGGACTTCCTTGAATGCAACCAGCAAAGTCTGGGGCAACGGCGCCCCTATGACTTTCACCAACTGGCAAAAGGGCGAACCGAATAACCCTTCCAAAGAGTTCTGCATGTCGATTATGTTAGTCTTGAATTCATTACATTTACGGCTGGGGGAAATCTTGCGCTAGTTGTTGTTGTTGTTGTTTTTTTTTTAATTTCTTGTTATGCGGCTTTTAAAATAAATTAGGATCATTTTAAGCAAATGCAATTTTGAAAAGAAAAATTAGATAGGTAAGATTGGCAATAGCAAGACAATTATTTTTTAATATAATTCAGCTTATATTCATGGGCTGATTTCGCAAAGATTTCTGAAATTTGACTTTTTTATCAGTTTTACTGATTTTATTTATTTTTCATCGGAAAAAATCCATCAATTTTAAGTTGTTCCACTTTTTAAGCAAAATTTTGTAAAAAAGAAAACTGCTTTCCCCAAATTATTTTATAAAAGTATTCTTAATAAAAAAATCAAATAATTGGGTTTACCGCGGGGGCCGCGTCTTTTTTAATGTTGGGCGTTTTAGCAGACATCCTTATACTTTACTTGTAAACCCTTACTTCTCTTTTTCCCAATTTCTTAATATTTACGTATCAACCGAGAATAATAAATATTAATTTAATAATTCTTACATAATAGGAGAAATGGTTGGTACGACATGGGATGTCAGATGTGGACTAATTACGTTTGCGAAACGCCGGAAACACCAGCACCAACTTGCAACATGGGTGAAATTTAAAAAAAAAAATGATAAAAATCTTTTCAACCAATTGAAATTTTTATAGATAATTACAAGATTCCAGATAATAGAGTGAAAATTATGCCTTTGTTATTTACTGGAAAATTACATTTTTCATATTTATTAGGCTAATTGGAGGCAAGCGCGTAATAGTTGTCGTAAACTAGGAATGCAGTTGGTGAGCTTGGAAACGCCGCAGGAGAACATTTGCGTCATGAAAGCGATTGAAAATTCCGGTATAAATTATTAAAAAATGTTTAAAAAAAATACAATCTTTTGCATGAATTTAAATCGTGATTAAGGATTGTCAACGGTGCCGGTTTTTACATCACTGAACATAATTAATGGCGAGAAACAATATACGAAATGGGATAGTGGGGCTCCTTTGTCGTTCAACGACTGGGCAGTCGGACAGCCCAAAAACATGAACGAAGAAAAATGCATGGCAATGAAGTATTTTGGAAATTTTGTAATAATATTGTTGAATCATTTGCAAATTTTGATCCTAGCAAATATTACTGGATTAACACAAACTGCTACAGTGAGAATCGCTACATTTGCGAGAAATCGTCGTCAGAAGCTCAAACTCAAAGTGAAAAAGAGTGCCAGCCAGGTACCATTTTTTAAATTTTTTTTTAATCATTACTGATCTTTCAGTGAATCTATTTTAGGTTCAAAATATAGTGTAACACAGACAAAAGTAAAACAAACATATTTTTTTTTAATGCAAAAATAAATTGATCGCTAAAAATTTAGGCAAATTTCTGGAATGCTCGTAAAATATGCAAGAAAATGGGAATGGATTTAGCAAGCTTGGAAACTTTGGAGGAAAGCAACTGCGTCAAAACTGAAATCGAGAAAGCAGGTGAAAAAGATATTTATATTACTTTATGCATTATTGAGTACAAATTTGGAATGACGCTTTTCCCAGATTTGTCAACCAAGGCTGTCTTCATTTCATTATCTGGCTTTGGGGGAAAGACTTTCACAAAATGGATCAATGGAAAGGACATGACATACACTGAATGGGCAAAGGGTGAACCAAACAACCCTAACACTGAGAAATGCGTTGTTATGATGTTTGTTTTTTTAAAGCTTGGAATTGTGAAGTTTATAAATAAAAAAATCACTCTAGGCGCGATAAATGGTACGACACACAGTGCCAGGGGGAAAACTATTTTGTTTGTGAGGGTAATGATAATAATGCAGCGGTCATGGCCGCCGACCCTTGCAGTACAGGTATATTCTAATTTTTAATTGATGTGAAAAGAAAATAACCTGTAATTGAATCAGCCTTGTCGAAATCAAAATACAACATTGTAAAAAATGCAGTAAGTTAGAAATATATAAAAGAAAATAAATATTAGTAAATGTTTTGAGAAAATTTGGAGCGCCGCTCGGACCGATTGCACCAAGACCAAAGGTCAAGATTTGGCAAGTTTCGAAACGCCACTCGAAAATTATTGCTTTGAATTTGTCTTGGCGGACGCTGGTATGTAAAATTATGAAAATTTCCTCCCAATTTACACAAAACAAACCACAGACATGCTGAACAAGCGTGTTTTCTCCTCTTTGACTATGTACAAGCAGAAAAATTTCACAAAGTGGATCAACAATGCTCCCCTAAGCTACAATGATTGGGCCAAAGGTCAACCTTCCAGTTACAGGAGTTGCATGGTTCATTAGTAAGCAAAGGAATTTTTTAAATTAAACAGAAATGTATATCATTTTCAAATCCAGCAACTCTGATTGGTACGATGCCGATTGTGCATCAAAGAACTTTTACGTTTGCGAAGCACCTGCAGTAATATAAATTGAATTTTAGTTGATTTTGATATCCTTAAAAAAATTCATTGCAGGACCAAAATCAATGAGGAAAATTAACTTGATGATTTAATAAAAAATTTTGAGTTACTATGGGTGTCGGCTGGGTTCATTATGAGGCATTTTTTTATCCTTTTTCAAATAAAATTAATTGCAATACTCATTATTAACATTTAGTTTCATTCTAATTCCCTATTAGTAATTTACGATAATAACACATTCTATTAATTGCATGAATAAAGATAAAATTAATAAGAAAGGAAAAAAGACTTTTTAGAAAAAAACTTTTTTTGAGTATTTCTCCCTTTATTGAACAACCTGTTAAAAAGGTTTTACACTTTGCATAATGTCCAGTTAAGTTCTCAATTTTCTGATAATCACATAATAACTTAAAAAGAAAAAGAATATAAAGATGTAAGAATAACAATAATTACTCTGTGGGAAAGTAGAGCTGCATGTATTTTCTGTAGAGCTTCTTGTCAATGCTATCAAAGAGGCAGAAGATGATTCTGTCAACATGGTCTCTGTTCTTCTCGAGGAAGCTCCTAGCTAATGAGACAGCTATCTCAGCGGCTTTGTTGTTAGGAAAACCGTAAATTCCAGTGCCAATACAAGGGAATGCCTGTTTAACAGAAAAAAATTAATCTTAACTTAAATTTTCATAGCAATATTACCAACAATAGTTCGTAGCGATGGCTCTACATCATCATCAGGTTGTTTCAGGTAGCCCAGGCAGTTCTTGTAGCATGATTTCAACACATCAGGATTTTTATCAATTGGTCCTACAGCGTGAAGAATGTCTGGAAGAAATTACCATAAAAGCTTTCATTTAGCAGTTGTACTCAAGCTGTTCTTTTTTATAAAGGTCTGTTGATTATTTTAGCGACATGAAGCTGTTCAGACAGTGTTATAAAGATAGTCATTTCAGTGCCTTACATTTGGCTGGCAGCTTGTATCCTCCAGTCAACTTTGCATCACCAGGGGGGCAGCCATCCATCGAGTCACACTCTTCCTCCAAAATGTCTCCAGCGCCAGCAAAGATTGCTCCACACACTAATAAAATTTAATCAATATTAAACATTATTGGAAATAAGATAATTATTGTTAATAATTATTCTTTCTTTTAATTGAGATATAAAGGTTCTAAATTCTAAAACTAACCTTTTCAAAATTTTAATTATTAAATGGATTTTATTGACGAAATAGATGTTGATTTTAAGTATATATTTTTTATTTAATTTTAAAACTGACCTCCTGCTCCCCTGCCTAGATATTTATTAGCTGCGTTCACAACAATGTCTATCTCCAGGGTAGTGATGTCCCCCTCAAAAATTGAAACCTTCCTGTTCAGCTCTTCGTCAAATTTAGCCTGGGGAGGGTCTATAAAAAATTTTATTTAATGATTTGTAAAATTTGATTCACCATTTTTCACCTTTAGGGGGAGTCAATTCTTCTGTAGCTGCAAATTCCTGCCAAGTGAGAACTTGATCCAAAGTGAAATGATCTTTTCTGTAGAATTTCCTCTTTTCCTCCAGTGGCATGCTTAGGTATTTTACTAAAACAATCATAGATTTTCATCATGAATCATCCATATGAATATTCTCAGGTAAAAGTAAATAGAAAGTAAAGCAAAATGACTTTTCAGCAGACGAAAAATGAAAAGTCTATTATTGAGTCTATCGTGGGCAACCTTCATGAACCACACGACAGATTTATTAGGAAAACCAAGAGGTGATCGGCATACATACTGCTGAGTTTTTGACAAGTTCCTCCAGAGCGAGGTCCAACTGGTCGCTCCTTTCGTCTGGTTGTTAACATTAATTTTCTTATGTCAAAGGGGAATTTACATAAACAGGACAGTGTCGAAGTCAATTGGACAAAACAAAAGAGATACAAAGTTCCAACACGAAAAGTGAAAACGTTTGGAGTCAAGATACTTAAGTTTAAGTTATTGGCACGATTTGCGCTGCAAAATTAATCGGCACAGCCTTTTCCAAGAAGGCGAAAAAAATTTCATTATCGATTTGTCACAAATATTCTTAGTACAAAAATAGCACTTCTTGCGAAAACTTTGTCAAAAATTTTATACAATAAAAGTCAGACTATTTACAACATAAAGGAAGTCAAGATTGTGGGTTTCAAAGTCGGCGCTTCCTCTTGAAGTACGAGTCAGCATAGTGACCACCAATACCCTGCGAGTGCTGCCCAATGTAATTGTTCTCCGGACTGGGTTCTGGGGACGGAGGAATGTGGTTCAGTTTCCTCTTTTGACCCTGAGGGGTCACTGGCGAGTCTGGCTGCGGAGAGACGATTTGAGGCGGCCAAGGGGCTCCGTCAGCAAAACGCTTCGGAGGCGGAGGCACCATCGGCAAGGCCATTTGAGGCAGCAGCATCGGAGGCCCGATAGGTCCTGGGAAGTATGGCAGGTTCTGCAAAGGAGCCAAGGGTGGCACCAAAGGTGGCGTTGGGACGACCTTGGGCGGTTTCTTGGTCTGCTCGGTGAGGACGATGGTCTCGAGGTTCTTAGCAAAGACGGGATTCTGCTTGGCCAAGTTTTTCAGCTGCTGATAGACCAGGGGTGAGGGAGGGTCCGGCAAGAGGCCTCCAGCCGTCCGGGCCTCACCGATTCGCTTTAGGTACAGGTTGATGGCCCTCATGCCTGGCAGGCAAAATGAAACCCTGATGGCGTGGCCAAGGATCTGGGTGCCGTTGACCTCGAGCCAGGTCGATTCGGCCTCCGGCCAGTTGTTGAACTCCACCAGACCCCAGTTGTGGGGACTCGTCAGGGGCAGCTGGCAGTAAGGGGGCGACGTCCGGCAGCTGAAGATCTTTCGAAGTTCGCTCAGGTCTCGAAAGTTTTCCGGAAGGCCTTCGACCAGCATACATTTTGAGTGAAGGGCGTCGAGGGTTTGCAGGGTGGGTTCGAGCACATCACAGGTGACCTGACGTTCCGCCAGGGCCTGTCTGGCCTGCAGACAATGCTCCTTTCTCAGATACTCGACAACACCATAACCTTTGGATTGTCCGGTTTGTGAGCAGAGCATCAGAAGACATCGGGCTACCGGACCGTAACCTTCAACGATTGTCCGGAATTGGCTCTCGGTCAGACTGAGAGGCAGGTTGGCCACGCAGAGCAGATTCTGCAACGGCAAAGGCACGACCGGAATGCGTTGGCCGCGCAGAATGAAGATCCGCTCAGGGTCCCACTGATCGAGTACCTCGGGCGAGGCGAGATGGACCTGAGCTGAACTGGCACCGTTGCCGTTCTGCAGCAGGTGGACCGAGGTGATGGCGAAGTCGTGCAAGAGTTCGCGGACGTCCGTCTCGGAGACTTGCCGAGGAAGGTACTTGAGGACGAGGAAGCGTCCGCGGTGCAGCTCTCGGCGCAGCAGCAGCTGCAAAAACTCTGGCGACCGCCGTTTGTTGTTCGTCTCGTCGCTCGCCATAATCGCGTCTCGAGGCCGTTAATGTGCTACAAAGAGAACGAAAGCAGATGCAAGATGCGTGTGTACAACAGAAAGCACAAGGGAGGGTGCACAGGTAACAGCAAAAATTAAAATTCTTTTTCAATAAACACACAGCAGCGTGGACTGGCGGCAGCGTGTCGTGTTCTCGGCATTTTTACCTTTTTCTTGCATGAAGGACATGGCGAGTGTGAGGGAAATTCTTCTCTGGGCGACTGGGGAAATCGAAATGGGAAAATTTCGAGTTGCTAAAGTGAGCAAGCGACAGGCAAAGAAATTTCTGGCCGAGCGGAGCAGTAACGGACGAGTTAGCGCCATTAACACACAAGTTCGTTACCAACCACAACAACCAACAACTATATTACTATAGTGTGAAGTGCTGCCAACATAAAAACGCAAACATCCCAAAAATATTGAGCTGGCAGTTTCATTTTCTTGTACCTCAAAACTAAATTAAACGACAAACTTAACTTATTAAACTATATGAAAAATTAAAACGTTTTGTTAGTGCCATATTATCGTCTGCAATATTTATTCCGTTATTATCAGGTTTGTAAACATTACATTTGGCGCGGAGTTTAAATTTTCTAAATCAGCTGGATGAAGTAAACAGATTATTCAACCCTTTCAATTTGTTCCATCTACTTAAACTTTTAACTAGTGTCCGTTTTTTGGTTAATTATCTGCCATGGGTATTTGAAGCAAACTGCTGTCAAATAGTCATTTTTAATCCGTAACATTTCAGCTGAAAAGCCGCCACCAGAAAACACTCAAAATCCAAATGCAAATTCAAGTCCAGGGCGAGGCTGGAACGATCCTCCACTTTTACCACCTTCAAATACAATGAGCCCCAGCACTGGAGCAATCAAGAAGTCAGGTCTGAACCTTAATAAAAGGGTCGCCTTCCCCTTGTCAGGGGGTGGCTCTCCTGCAAGCAGTAAGCCTGTTGTGAACTCTGCAGCTCCTCCCTTGGTATGCATTATTTTAAACGCAATCCTGCTGAACTTGTTTCAAAAATTTTTTACACATCTTGTAGATGGTCGCACTTCCACCCAAGCTAATCGATACAAATGGGACAAATGCAGAGAGTTCAAATAACATCATATCATCGCAGGACGAGCCTCCGGATCTACAAGCAACACTTGAAAACTTTGAAAAAGTTCTTGATTCTACTTCTAAATTTGGAGTGCGTTTACATATTCACAATAAAGTTTTTCTGATAGTTATTAATATAAATTTTGTAGGCAAAAGTAAATGTCCAGGTCGAGATCCAGAACATGAAGCTGATGTGGGAGAAAGAGCAACTGAACGATGAAATCTGTATGAATATTCAAAAGCTCTCAGATGGTAATTTTCATTTGATGTAAATTCTTGTAAAATTTCACTTTCAGAAGTAAATAGTAATGTTATTTGATGCGATAAATTTTTAGTTATAAGCAATGAAAATAGATGTAAATGTTTGATATTGTTGTAAATAATGGGAATTGGTTTTTTTTTGTAGCCCTTTTGAAAAAAGACACGAAGGCAGCGCAAGACATGCTGAGCAACATTTCCAAATCTCTGGTCGTCCGGCACGACACTGTGGAATGGGCGAGTGCTCTTCGCTCCCTGGTCAACCACTTTGTGCTTTCGGCAGTCTACGGTGAGGCAACCAATGATAATAACAATTGATCTTCTCCATGACATATTTATCATCGATGTTGTATTTTTTTTTTAAATCGTGCAATATCACATTGTACTATAGTGAGATGTATTCACCGTTTTCGTTCAAATTTTATATTTTTGTTTGCATCATGCACTCTATGTTGCTTAGGAAATAAAAAGATAATAAGCATCGAATGCCATTTAAATGAAAACAAATTTAATTTAATAATCAATCCGCAAAGACGTGCTGGAAATAATGAAACAAGAGCAATTTTCATTGGATGAGAAAATACAAGATGATTTTATTGTTATCATGTATTGATAATATACTGCAAATATGTACAATTTCCTCTTTTGAGCTCCACTGCACAAGCCGCGTCCTATATCATAATATAAAACGCGTCGTACAGCAAAGTAACAAGCAAAATATCAAAGCATGCTTGTCCGAAATATACTCGTCAAATATCAATCAGTTTGGAATAAGGGCATGTATGGTGTTATACAGTGACAGGTGTTTCTTTCTTTCGTAACTTCCTCCCTCATATTTATATTGAACAATTTTCTTCTCTTTTTGCACTATTAAAATGTAGTATGTTGCAATTTCCTCTTTTTCTTCAAGTGAGAATTTATTTGTTCGCAGAGTTCATTTTAAGAATAGAGTTTTTATTATTAATAATTATTATTCGATAAACACTCTTAATAGTAAGCGAGACGGATTCGAATAATTTAAGTACACTCAAACTGAACGTTCGGTTTGAACTCCAATATAAGTATTCAACTCAGCAATTACAATAGGTTCATTATCAGAGGGTATAATAACAATAATAATTTAAACTTCATATAAAATACATGCGTATAGAAACTGCGACAAGACAGCCAAGCTGAAATTGCGTTCAGTAATTCATAAATTACTCATCGCGATATAATAATACTTTGCATTTTTCTTCTTTTATACAGCGCAATGCAGATTTTCTTCTTATTTGCAATGTAAATAAACGCGTTCACATGAAAAACTTATGAATTAAAATTTGGAAACTTCATGATCAGTAAAATACATTAATATATTATGATAGTTATTCATGTAGTTTTGATAGAAATAGTCTCTTGCATCTTGAGATTTAATTAATAATTAATGAAATACTCATATTATGCATCTTGATACTCTTAAGTGTATTTGAATTATTATTTTTTTCTTTTCATTTCGTCAACAATGCGATTTTTAGAACAATTTAGCTCTTTCACCAGTTTCAAGAAGTCACGCTTAGCTTTTATATCATAGGAAAAACTATCTACTATGTCCAATAATTAATTAATTAACGCAATAAATTACCAGCTACATTATTCAATTGTTGGAATGAATCGCGTGAAAAGCGTATATCGAAATTATCAATACACAACAACTAGATTGCCGCTCGGCGGGGGGAAAACAACATGTAATAATTTTAATTAATTATATAATATGTACCTGATCTGAATGAGAGAAATTTAAATTACTGTCTCTTATTGAGGGGCAAAAAATCAACGCCTACACTCTAGAACATTGTAAATTTACAAAAGGTCATTCACACTTTGGGGAAACACAACCAGATGCGTGATATGTGATTGTCAGCAGGACAGAGACAGACAGACAAGATAATTATTTCGCGCACATTGAGTAAAAAGAGAAAACCACTTGCTCAGGATCACAATTTTTGCTTTCATTTTTCCATTTGCTGCTGATATGTAGTTATTTTCAAGCAACGTTGTTCCAATTCAATTAAGAAGCATGTACGAGGGGCGCGTTTTTTTTTATAAATAAATGCAAGTTTTTTTATCTGAAGGAAAATAATACTTTCGAACGGGCAGCGACAAAATGAATTATTATTGTTTTGTTGCACACACAGTAATAATTTGCAACAATTAATATTTTCAAGATACACAATTAAACCAAAAGGACTGCGTTGTTATTTGAACTGAACGTTATGATCAGCACGCTTCCAAAGACACATAATTGAGCATTTCTAAAAATACATATTGTGTAAATAGTCAAGTTGTACCTAAACACTGACGAGTTCCTTTTTTGCTATAAAAATGAGAATTAACTGTTTTAATATTATTAATTTTACAAATAAGTGAGCCGATTTACCGAGAGTAAAAAAAAAACACTGCTTTAATGATATTAAAAAAAATTTATAGTTGGATACACTAACATGCGTAACGATGGAATTATATTCGAGCAGGATGGGACTTTTTTATATTAGTATATAAATGTACTTAAGTGTTTTAATCGCGCACAACTTAGTGTATATGATTGCTTTCTTATTATCTTGCAGGATAATTACTTGATCATCCACATTTGAGATGTGAGAAAGCAGTTTATGCAATTTTCTTTCAAAAACCTTTGATCCCGACCGACAAAAAAAAAAGAGATTCTGTACAGGTGTACAATAATGATAATTTTACTTTGTTTTCCAAGTGCAGATCGAAACTTCGAACGAAAGTTACAGTTTCTAAGAATTAGTAAGCGTAATTGTACTTGATTTCCAGAAAAATAGAACAAGTCAGAGCTCATTTGAGAAATTCTTTTCTAAGTACATGAACGATAAACATGTTAAATTTTCTACGAAGGTACGGACGCATATTGTGGTTGTTTAACACAAATTTCAAACTTCTCGCGTAATTTTTCATTTTGTAACTGAAAACGGACTTGATCATCAAAGACAGACAGTTCAACAGCAATGAAGTAGTTTTTAACACATATTCCCTCCGAGAACATTGTCCACTTTCTTTACAACGAAAAAATTAAAGCATCTCCCAAAGCTTTATTCATAAGACGAGTTTAGTTGACCAACACACACACTCTAATTATTTTTTTCTTCTTAATTTTATTCTACTCCCCTGCTGCGCACATCAAAATCGGTGTTTTTTCACTAATAAATTTGACAATAATTTCCTTTAACACCTATAAGTTGTTTGATAAAAGGGTGTTTTAAGTGATCCCATATTAAGCGCAGCAGCAGTGGTGGCGATTGAGCCCAAAATAGATTTTTATTTTACAATATGTATATATCATGTTACTATTTGGAGAAAATTCAATTCCACATTCATATCATAGAGCTATTTTTACTTTATCAAGTCTGTTCGTATATAGATCAATAGTATTTTTCGTATAATTTTTTTACTCTACCCGAATAAATTTTCAATTTTTTTTCTGTTTATAAAGCTCAAATCGCGCTCAGTATTTAAATTTTTACAAAGAGGGAAACGTGCAAAGGCCATGCTTAATATTTCTGAAAAACTTTCCCCCTGTTACCAACAGCAGCTCTTTAAAACACACGGACTGCTAGATTCGGGACTACGTTTCAGGTCCACCCATCACGCACGTATTAGAGTTGCATGATTTTTGGAAAAATGCACATCAACTTTTCGAATTTTGGTGTCAATACATTGAGTAATATACAATAACGACCACAAGCAATTGGTTTGTTTCTGCCAGTTTTCAACAAATGTCACGGTGCCTCACACTCGGATAATTGACTACTCGGCAGGCAGGGCTCACGCATTTTCAAAGGTTTTGAAAAATTTGGCACAATTTGTTTTTTCTGCGCCTGAATTTACACCTTTCTAAGCGCAGAAAAGAAAAATTCTTGACAGTCGGTCCGATTAAAAATTGCTGTTAGTGTGAGCCGTACCTTGGTCGAAACATTGAAGTGTGAACTGTGAGCACCGTTTTGCATTCACGTGGTAGAGTGGTAGGCCTACCGCATCAGCATAGGCCAGAACAATTTTCACGTTTTGAAATATTTCATTTCCAACAAGCCTATTCGCAAGTCAAAAACTAACAAAGGCTGCTGCGTTTGTAGCGCAAGAAGTTTTTCGATTTTAACGAAGTGCTTAAAGTAATTATTCAAATTTCTCACAATGATCTTTTTGCTTTTTGAAGAATTTTTTATTGCCGAAGGAGTTTTCTTTTCTTTCCATAACGCGTTGGTTGATTCAAAAAGGTGCGAGAGAGTGGCTCGCAAGAATATGCAATTTTAGTTAATTTGATTCAAAATCGTTTAAAATCAACACATATTAATTCCATGATCGCTTAGTACGACCCCTCTTCTCAGCCGTGAAAGTAGAAATCAATCCTTTTTAGGAACCACTTAAGTAGTATCAGAGCACAGTGTATCAGAAAAATACATTTCCATTCTCATCTCAGTCCATCGATTAGTTTTGAATAATTTACATAATATATATTATATTTATATTTAGCGATAGTAATTACTAGATAATAATTATTACTGATTGGTCTTCTCTTTTCATAAATGTAATCCTAAAGTGTGTGTATTTTAGTCCATTTTTTGCTTTCTTTGCAGAAGAACAAGAGCTTCTTAAACGATTGGATGTGAGCATTTTTTGTCTTGATTTCTCCTCCGTGGACTCGCACGAGGAGTCGTCGTTTCTTCGTTTGTCTTCAATTGCTTTTTGGCCGTTCGATTTTCTCGCAGGGTGATGGGGGCGTGGGGGTACTACCGCATTGGGGGAATCACAATTATCGCCTGACATCATACCACTGTCTCCATGTCTTCAGCCACTTGCTGGAAGTGCTCTTGACCTAAAAGAACGAAAATATATATTCATATTTCATATTAAATAAAAAAATTATAAGCAGTCAATTAAATAAATAATTACTTATTATATTTTTTTAATCTTTTTACTATTAAAAAATTAACTAACTTAAAAATCACATTGAATTAAATAATTTATGTTTTTCCTGTTTCTTATTAAAATAAATTAGCAATTTAATAATAACCACGTTCGTACATATTTCCAAAGTTTTCAATAAAATTTTATAAAATAATGTGATAAGGGTAAAATTTCTTGGAATATGAAGGAATTAAACTAATTTATAAGCTTAATTTTTAACACAAATATATAAAGTTTTGCTAAAAAATTGATGTTTTATCAACTTTTTTGAATGAACGTACTCTCAAGATAGGCTGCTAACTCGGAGTCCTGGGCACGTTGGGCAAGGTCTCTTGCTGAGGTGCCCTGGCTGTCTGCCATACTGATGGAGACTCCTCCTGCTACGAGCATGCAGCAGATGCGACGCTGTTTCGCCTCCGCAGCCTTGTGGAGGGCAGTCTGTCCTCTAAAGATTTAATATTATACATATTAATTCTATCTAGAAATTAATCGTAATCAACGCACTTATCGTTGTCCACCATGTTGAGAATACTTGGCGGGGCAGTGGCGATGAGGAACTTGACGATGTCTTTGTGACCATATCTAGCGCCGAGATGCAGCGCTGTCTGGCCTGTTGGATCAATGGAGAGAAGCGAGAAGCCCATCGCATAGAGGTCCTTCAACTGCGAATGGTGTTTTTTTTTTCAGACCGGGTTATTTTTTTTTAATCCTTTTTCAACTTACCATTTTGAGATCACCTGTCTTGGCCGCTTTGAGAACACTCTCAGAGTTCTTCTCCAACAAGTTGCTGCAACAGAGCAGAATTTTTAAACCTCCGAAAGCAGAAATTTTGACAAGACGTGCGAAAAAATTATATTTGAATCTTGCTGAAAATGATTTGTAAATATCTTTATAATAATAATTTTCAAGCAGAAAAATCGATGTGCTTGCAAAGAAGAAAAACTGAAAAAACAAAAACAAATAAATAGTAAATTTGCATTTAAAAATATTTAAATTGTCCATTTTCAGCAACACATACTGAAATATTCAAAGAATCGGAAATTATATTCATATTCTAAGAGCTAGGATTGTAAGCAAGAGCATTCAAGGGGTTTCGTGAATTTACAATTTATTATTGCAACAATGATTGTGTGTGTGAGGTGATGGGGGTGTTGTTAAAAAAAGTTAATTTGACTCACCTTAATTTATAGTATTCAAGTCCAAACAACCGATCATAGATGCTGGCATGCAAGCAACATAACACGCAGAACATAAGAATCATGCACACAATTTATGACGACGTTTGAGATAATTTTTGAAGAAGGAAATATATAAAATTTGAGAAAAAAGGGACAAATTATGAATAAAAAAAGAATGGCTGATAAATGCCAAAATGAGTGGAGGATGAGTTTTGCGAAACCAATCAACTAGCTCAAATTGAACAAATTAATTCTAAGTAAATACTAAAACAGGCAAAGCAGAGGACACATAAATATATAAACAATAAAATTTTTTGGAAACCCTAAAGTTTTTCATTTGATTTTTCAAATTTAGTTTTGCCGAGGCTGCTTTTATGTATTACTTTTTGCTTCTGTTTCTCTGCTGCTTGCTTTAAAAGGGACCTACCTAGGGAAGGTGTGGGAATGCTTTAATTTACTGCACTCTTCGATCTTGGGCGTTGGTGATTGTGACTGCAAGTCCAGTTGGAAGCTGCACCTCCGAGGCGAGGTTGACTTCTCACCCGAATCGCCGTTCTGCTCCTCAAGTTCCTCGACGGCCCCATTCTCTTGAGCCATTTTCAGCTCCTCCTCCTCCTCGAAGGTTTGCAGCACCTGGTCTAGCTCAGCAGCCACCACTTCCACGCCCTCCCTGATTCATTCTTACTTTTGCTTTCGTCTTTTCGTTGCACATTTTTTTTTATCATGTATAAAAATTCAAATTTTGAATTTTAAAACAGCAGCCTATAGAGCAGCTAATATTTTTTTTTTATCAAAACAATAAAAATAATAAAAATGGCATGGGCACACACACAAAAGCAGAAAACACACAAAACACGATGCATTTGCAAGCGCCAATAACCAAAATTTAAAAAAAAAATATGTCCAATTATCAAATAAAACACACTAGTATAAAATCGATTACGAACGCTTCCAAAAAAAAATTCACATGGACGAAAATTACACCAATTATTTAAGCAACTTGCTGGGAAAATAGAAAAATATCGAACAAAAGCCAGATGGTCAAGTACAAAAATGTAAGAGTGAGACAGAGATAAGAGCGGAGAAAGAGAGATATGTTCAGAAAGTTGTTAGATTTGGAGATAATTTGTAATTGAACGGCCGTAATTTTAGTTTACCTGTCGACTGAGGATTCCTCCCCGGGCGACGAGATTCGCAGTCTTGATCTGAGGCCGTTGGAGTTGCCTGTTGGAGACAAATTATGGTCCCCGATGCCCTCGTCCTCTGGGGTCTGTGGCAGCGTGGGCAGTTCTGTGTCCAGCACCAACAACTCGTCACTGGCAACGTCCATGACATAGTGCAGGTGCTCTTGCGCCTTGTCCAACCGGAACACTCTTTCTGCAGTGCAAGCTAAAAAAATAATTTTAATTACTTAATAATTTTGAATCTATATATTTTGCATTTAAGAGGCTAAAAGTAAGCACAAGGTCGCTCTCTACGCACGGAAAGTTTCGTAAGAATTTTATGCACACGCTCATCAGAAACTTTTTATTAAGTACTTTATTTGGAAAAAGTAAGTGGAAAAATTTTACAGCTTTCAATCATTTAAAAATGTGCAGATGGTGCAAACATAGTGAATGATTCAACAAAATACTCTTATGGAAGAAAAATGACTTCATGATGAATACGCGCCCAAAAACTATATTATTTAAAAGTTACTTACAAATTTCCCCTTTGTAACAATGGATAAAAATTTGTTTTCAGAAAATATGTGCACTTAGAGTAGGCTGGTGAAAGAGTTTGAATCTTCTAAGGAGAAATTAATCTCTTTAATACGATAAAAATGTTTTGGAGAAAATGTTTCTTTTATTTTCACTTTAAATTTTTGTCAATTGAAAACTGAAGTGACCTGCTATTTTAATCTCCATTTTTTTATTTTTACCTCTGAAATAATAATACCAATCTGAATTTATTTCAAGGATTTGACATAATTGTTACTGATAATTGCTAAATATTGCCAACCAGGCGAATATTCACAATATTTTAATAATAATAAACGCCAAAAATTTATCAAAATTTTGTACTATCTTTGTTTTATTACAATGACATCAATAGAAAAAAGCATCTATTGCCAAAATTTATTTCATTTGAAAAATATAAAAATTACGGGACTGTCTTCACCAGTGAATTACAAATTACAAGTGCTTTGCAATGAAAAAAAACTTACAGTCAACAAAGCACCAATCCGATGAGAGCCTAGCGGCGGGGTCCGTCTTGTCCTCCTGCAGTTTGATGATCATCTGGCGGACCTGCTCCAGATCTGCCGAAGGACTGACGTCGATCGTGCCCAAAGTAGTAGCTGAAGATTATTTAATATTCTCTCTCTCAAAACTACGTCTCCATTAATTTGAGTTAAATTTTACCTCTTTGGGTCAGGACATCCTTGTCGTAGTGGTGTTGCTCGTAGTCGGACATACAAATCTTCTTAACAGTGACCTTGAGTTGTTCGAGGGTTGTTTGCCTAGAATTATTTTATATTTGGAAAAATTTAACAGATGAGAAATGGAAGAAGAATGGATAGTTATGGTAAGGTGTTTGCAAATTTGTATGTTGCCCAAAGACCCCATTTGTAAGCGTTTTGTTTAGTAAAAAACGAGTGTTTTTGTACAAATTTCTAATTGCAAGGAACAATACATAGAGAGTAATCCCAAATGCCAATTTAATGCATGGTTAATGCAAAAATTTCTCAAGCAAGAAACTTCCAAAAATGAAAAATCGATTGCTTACTGTCTGAACTAGGGAGCATTGGGGTACTCATATAAAATCTGTCGTAAAAAGAACAAAACAAAGAGCGTCAAACAAGCGCAACACACATAGACAACAATCTCGTAAGCCAAAATACTCACTGGCTGTTGCCCTTTCTGCCTCTGCGCTTGGCCAGCATGCTGGCCTTATTCAGGTGGGTCATGGTGATGATGGAAGGGTTCAGTCTGGCCGCCTCACCGTCCACCTGCATAGGTATCGTCTTTGACGTCGTGATGATCGCCGATTTGCACTGGGTGATGGTTGAACCGTGACCACCAGCTTGCAGCAAGGGCTGTTTTTTAAATTAGGATGAAAAATCGTTAGATTTGTTACATTAGTGGGATTAAATATTTTTTTCTTATACTAATTTTTTTGTTAATATAAAATTGTCCTTTTTCATGAGTAAAAAATCTAATTATTTTATCCTCAAAGTTAAAATATTTCTTAATCAAATCACTGATTCCCCGCCACTAATATTTATATGTAAAAGAATGTACCAATTGATAGGTGGTGAGGCCAATCACTTCGATCATTCCGTCCTCTGTCGATTGCTCATGGGCGGCGCCTGTTTTGTTCCAGGGCCGAGTGCCGCCACCGTAGCTATTTAGACCATTTATTTATTTTAAATAATAATAAAAATCAATTATAACATACCTGGCGATGTTAAGGAAGACAATCGCATGGACCTTGTGTTCTTTAAGTTTGGGCGTCAAATCTTTTCCGTCGCACTCGAGCTTGACAAAATCGGACAAGTCCTTCCACTTGCGCTGCAGCAAGTCTTTGCCTCCGGCCTGGCCGTAAAACATTTTATTGCGGAGCCGCGAATTGAATTTCTCCGGGTGCGCCTCTGAAAATTGTTGGGGGAGCAATTATTTTCCCGCACTAATTGCAGCAATAAATTGGACCAGCGAGAGGGTCCATTTAATATACTGAATGCAGCTGCAGCCGCTTCCAGAGTAGCTATTTAATTTATTATATTTTTTGTACCTCTTGCTTCGTGGAATTCTAAGGCAATGTGAGCGTCGACGCCAAGCGAGAAGTAGTTGTTAAGTACGTTCAGGGGAAGGTTCTCCTTGCCCTCCTCGTTCGGCTCGGCGTCAGGGTTCTTCTCCACCTTCAGGTTCCACCTGTCCAGCAAGATGATTTCACCATCGGCGATGTTGGACAAAATCTTTGAGATTGGCTCATCAGTGTAGCCCTGCATTCCAAGAAACACAAAAATCTTGATTTCCGCTTGTCCCAAAAATTGCCAAATTTAATTAGGGCTGGAAAAAGTTTAAAGGACGTGATTTTGACTTTTTTAAACAGATAATCATGAATCATGAATTTGAGGCTAAAATACATGTCATATTATCATAATTTAAATTTTTCCCAAATTTTATACACAATTTTTCAACTTAGTGAAGATGTTCAAGTTGAATTTTACAAAAAAAAAAAAAAAATGTAGATCATATAAATGTTTGGGGAAATGAAATGCCATGAATGGCTCCAAGAAGTCAAAATCCGATAAAAAAAATTTGTCTTTAAAATATAATTTAATTGAAAAGTTGACAAATGTTTTAAGTGAATTTAAAAGTACCTTAATTAATTGGCTTAAGATGAATAAAAAAAAAGAAAAGTTTTAGTGATTTTTTTTTAAATGGTTATATTCATTTGACTTTATCATTCCCAGCCCTAATTTTAGTTAAATTACCACGCTAAATTTAATTTTTGCTCTTATCTTAATAACAAACATAAGACAGACGTATACAAACAAGACAAGGAACACAAAGCTTGGAAGTAAAAAAAAAAAATCAATGAAAATAATTTGGAAAAAAATGAAAGATTTAGTGAAGGTTCTCGCGGAAAAGCACCTGGCAGGGCACGCAGTGCTCGGGCGAGTCAAGGAGTGAGAGGAAGAGAATGATAGAAAGAAGCGCGAGTAGGAGTAGAAGAGCCCCTGAGGCCAGTTGGCGTGAAGACACGACGCGCGTCACAAGGAAGGCAAGCGCCGCGCTCATAGCGCACACCGCGGCCTTTTCGCGCCTCCCGCAACTGTGTTCGTCACCCTGGCGAAAGAACAACGTCCCAAAAATATCCAAGGGCAGAAGAAAAAGGTTTAAAAAAAATTGCTAAAAAAAGTTGAATTTTTTTTTAGCAAAAATCAAGGCCAGCTGATGAGCTTTCAAATAAGCATTATCGCGATCCTGGTCATGTTCTGCCCCTATTTGAGAGACTTTGTAGTTCAAATTAGAGAAATTGATTGCATGATACAGAAATTTATGAGAACAAGGCTTTCGAACAGTACTTAAAAATTTTGAATTGGAATTTGTTTTTAAGATCAACCAATTTCAGAAGTGATTTTTTTAAATTTTAATCTAATACTTTGAAGTTTGTCTTTAAAAAAATTAAATCTCAATCAAAAGAATTTTCCGCCAGGCAGTTTAGAGAGGTTGTCAAAAGACAAGGGGTTTAGTGCACAAGAACAATCCACAAACAATTTTCCGCACGAGTGAAAGCGAAACTTACGCCACCCCATCCAAGAGCTCTGGCGAGGTCGTTGCCTGTTCCCAGCGGCAACACGCCGACGGCTGGCGGCGGCGAGAAGCCGAGTTGGTCGAGGATGGAGAGAACCCAGCCGACGGTGCCGTCGCCGCCGCATGCCAACACCCGAAGATTCGGCACCTTTCGGAACATGTCCAGCCTGGAAAAAAATTAATTTTCTTTACATTTTGTGCGGTCACGGTCTCTCTTAATGAGAAAATGTAAATTAATGAAACATGGATTTTCTCGGGGAAGGAAAAACATTTTTGAGGCAGTAGACGCTATGCAACCCGCTCGGCATCTTAATGTAGCCGGTTGCCTAGCACTGTTGCCCCTGACCTTTCCAACTTGATAAATTGCAAAGCTTCCGAGACAGAAAAGTTGCTTCCAAGTTGATTTTATTCAGAAAGGCACATTTCTAGATTAGTGCTATCGCTATCAGATTAGAAAAGATGGTTCAAAGAAAAAAATCCTCTTTCCAATCCTTTAGATTTCAAATAACTCAAATTAAAAACTTGCATTATCTAGTTAAAAATTATTTGATTCATTTGATCTGCTTTAAATAAAATCAAAAAATTAAATTGAAAAAAGTTTAAATCAACAAAATATCAATAGATTAATTTTGGAAGATGAAAAAGGTGTAATTTGAATTTCCTATGAAAGTTTTGCATTTGGGAATTCTTTTCAAAATGTTTCCGGCATGAAATGAAAAATTATGTCAATATTTTTCGTTCAGAGATAATCAAATAAACAAGGTGAAATTAATTATGACTACCTTAAATTCGTAAAACAAACTAAATAATACAAAAGTTCAGTTTTTTTTTAACTCTTTAATTCTGCCAATCATTTTAACTCTCAGCATTGTTTTTCTAAACAAATTTTTCTATTATATGAAAAATAAATTTCTTTTTTACTTTAAATAAATACTGACCTAATAAACAAACTTAAAAAATTATGCTATGATGGAAAGAATAAATAATAATAAAACAGATGATATATTATTTTCTTATATTGCCTGCGACTAAAAAATTTAATTTATTTAATAATACTGACCCCATATTGGGTCCACCCTGGGTAAGGTCGAAAACTTGTCTGGGGTTGAGCAGCCATTGGAACTTCTGCAGCAATTTGGCGCCCTGGTTGCCACCCGAGCGGGGGTTGATGAACACTATCACGGGTTTCACGCTGACCGTCGGGATCGGCTTGATCACAAAAGTTCGCTGCTCCGGCTGAAATGTGTCACGGACGGTTCAATTTGGTTAAAACAAAAGTAATCGGCTCAACAAACCTTGCTCTTCTTTTTGCTGTTCGTCTTCTTTTTCGGAGATTTGCGGAGACTTGACTTGAAGCTTCCTTTGCGAGGCAGCTTCACGATCCATGACGGAGGCACTATGATGCTGGAGTGAACTCCTGAAAAACGGGAAATACGAGAAGTTAAGCTCGGTGTGCAAAGTTTTCGATTGCGTTGGGATCTACCCAAGTCTCCAAGGAAAATTTCGGTTTGAATCAATCGCGGTTTTGTACTGACAATGATTAAAAGCATGTAAAATGATTTTTTACAAGCGGATTAAAAAAATTTGTGGTTTCAAAAGAAACTGGCCAAAATTTTTGATACCTAAACGTAATAAGTGTCTCAAGCCATTATTTGAGGAAAATCATCATCTGAAAATTATTTACGCTTTTCAATGCAAAAATTCAGTGAATCATAGTCTTTAGAATGGCTGAAGTGAATAAGCATTTATGAAATTATTATACCATTTAGTAATTTTTTTTCCATTTTCTAAAAATCTTATTTTAGAAACAAAATCAACAGCCAATTTTGCGAGCCTAAAATATAATCCAATGATTTTGCCGATGTTGGAGAAGGAAAAAATCATCGTCTCTCTCGTCAAATTGCTCACTTTTTGGGGAAAAATTTCAATCAGAGGCTCGACGTCAGCATAATCAGCTTTCGAGTTTCGCGGAACTCGATTGTAAATCCCCCATTATGCCGCTCTCGTCTCTCTCTAAATCAGAAATTTCCTAATTGGCTATTTTGAAAACGATCCGCGCACAATGGAGGGAAAAACAAATTGTGCGCTCGGCATTCCTCCGGCTGGTCGGTTTATTTGCCCTGGCAATTAGGTCAGAAAACACACACAATGAGAGGAGTAATAATTAATTTTCGAGCTGGAGAATGGACGGTCAGAACAAAAGCTCTCAGTGTTTCTCTCCTAACTCGAAAACAATTTAATCTGCTTAATTGTTGTGTCAGCTAGGCAGGGCAAAATTTCCAACCCCGTTCTGGCAAAGTAGCAAAACCTCTCGGCGGCGCGGCTTGGGTTCCCACGGCACGTGTTTTAATGGAACACATTGAGCAGGCGTCGTTTTGTCTGCGCAATTTGCGGAAATTTAATATTGCTGGGGAAACGAAAATTGCCGTTGTTGAGTTTGGACCGTGGAAACATCACTTTTGAAGGAGTTGAAAGAGCTCAAGGGCCCTAACAATAAGCAGAACAGAATACATATGAAACAAATTTTCTATGTGAAGAAAATTTTTCTATATTACTTAAAAAAGTGGTAAAATTTTTTGATTTTTTTTTTTAATTAAACATAGTGAAAACTTTCTTAGCAAGAGAATGAGGCCAGGCTTGAGAGACAATTCAAAAATATATGGAGTGGTTTAAGCGTGAAAATGGATCGTGGGTAGGAAAGGTAAAATTAAGCCTGCAGGATGGAGATTCAGCGTGGAGCAGCAAAAGAGACTTTTTGGGCGTGTCGGATGGCAAAGGCAAATAGCGTCGACGATGGCGCGGATCTCTTACCTAAATCACATTCCTCGCCTATCTTCTGCAGATTGAAACACGAGTCTTTGTTGTGATAGGCCGTCTTGCACCAGGAACAACTGATGGCAACGATATCCTTTGAACTGAACGACAACTTGGACTGGAACGACTGCAACAGAGAAACACACTTTCATCAATGAGGGCAGATCATGAGTATGTGAATTTCACACATTTCAGAAACCAATGGAATTGATTTTATGCATATTTTGTTATGAAAAAGAGCATCTGAACAGCAAATGCTCTGTTTTGTTTCAATTGCATTGAATATTTTTTTATTCAAAGTTGCCTTGTTGATCTATTTATTTTTATTCAATTTGCTTTTTTTAAATTGAAAAAAAAAATTAAATTATTAAACAAAAAGTAATGAGAAATCAAGTATAAAATAAAGAATTAAAAAATTAATAGCTAAAATTAGAACTTAATTAGAGTGATATTAACTGTAAATAACTGTTGTTAAAAAACCCACTCTTTTTGCTGCATTTTTTTATAACTGTGAGAAAAAGGGTTTAGTCGCATTATTTATTAAAATAGAAAAAAAATACAGCATTCAAGCTACATAAAAGACAGATTTTTCTTGGATCCTGTAATTTTCTAGAAAGCTTCACAAATAATAATGAAATTATTATCAGAGAATTCAATTGCAATTGCTCCATTTCCTTGCTGAATAATTCGATTTTAAGGTTAACTTCCTTGTCAGGCTTTTGGTGGAACTCTCGTGAGGAAATTAGATGCTGCATCTTGAATTTTTGGTTTGGTGTTATTTTCGCTTTGTCTGTGTCATCCCGCTTTAAGAGGAAAGTGTTGCGATGCGGCACACGCGCGCGCGAGCTCAATTTTGCGAATAAGGGCGCAATTCGCGAAAGAGGAAATTAAGCAATATTTGAGAAACAAAATTCACGCAAATAATCCGGCGGGCGCCCTTCAGCTTTCGCGCGCGCCTTGCGTCTCATTAATTCGCGAACACGCTGCCTTTTTCATGCTCATTTGCGAGTTGCGAAAAGATCAGCAAGCAAACGAGAGAGAGAGAGAAAGCGCCATGAATTAATAATGTGCTTGTCGGGGCCAACTGCTGCGCATGAGAAAAACCACTTGATGCCTCTGCTCTGCATCAATTTCTTCCTGGCCCCGAATATGCGGCAGAATTGGCTACTTTTCGCCTAATTTGCCAGTGCTAATTGGAGATACATTCATTCAGATGATGTAATTTAGTGGGGTCGTCAACCATCATCAAGAGCGCAGCTACAAGGAAAGTCTTGATTTGTGTATCCGGAACATTCTAATTCTTTAATGAGCATTTAATTAAGGGATTTAAAAGAAGTGCAAAAGACGGAATTTGAGCGTTTTTAGTGGATTTTATCATTAATATCAAATATTAATTGAAATCTTTAAACATAAAATATTTTGCTAAATGGAAATAAATAAGAAACAACCGGCGCTTAACCTTGATACTCAAATATTATTTTGATTTGTATTGTTTAAAACAATTAACGCAGGGACGCAAATCACGTGGCACTTTCTACAACAAATTTATAGGGAATTCAAAATATTTCACTGTAAAAAATATAAAACAATTGTTTTTTCTTGATTTGAAAAAATAAAAATAGTTATTATTGCTCATCTAATAAATATAAATTTATACAATTTCATCGATATATCGTTACATTGTTTAATATTCTCATTTACAATATCCAAAAGAGCGAGAAGTTGTTTGGAAGAAAATCCATAGCAAATCTGTTCTTACTTGGAAAGGCATTTGGAGAGGAAAAACATTATTTCCCGTTTCCATAGCACAACGTATCGGTGCGATTGCAATGTGGAAATTGACGCCCAAGGGATGACGCGAGAAGTGCACACGCGGCAAATGAGCAAGAAGGTCTCTTTGTGGTCGTTCTCGCCTGATGAAATGTAACGGCGGCGCGCGTTTATTTATCCAGAAATGGCACCTCTCACACACATATATAACGAAATGAAATCGTGCTGCCTCACGTCGACCGACAAACTTGCTCTCGTCCCTTTAACTTTTCATCTGGAAAGGTCGGCTGGGGAAATGTCTGTTTTATTTGAGGATAGAGGCTCTCTCGATATAGACGAATCAATGATTTTATTTGTTTCATTTTTGCTGTGACCGAGATGTCTTTCCCGTTCCTCGTCGCGCAATCACTCCGCCGCACCACAGAAAGCATAATAATAACCTTGTTTGCCCAGCTGGAACAATTGCGGCAAATTGCCTCTTTGTCGCGCGTCTTTGCTATTTTCCACCGCCGCGCTTGATTTAATTTGCGGCAACTTTGTCTGTGCCGACGAGAGTTTGAATTATGGCGACGACTCCTTTGGGGGTGGCGCCGACCCACAAGTTCTAAGTTGGATTCAGGGCGCGGTTGGCACAGCAGCTAGTGACGATTTGGGCTAATGGGCACGTTGAAACTCGGCAGATCAATCAAATTAATTAATGGGCACGGAGCCGTCGAAGAATTCTTGTTTGTGATGCTGAGTGAGTGACGTTGAACCGCGAGAAGGTCGAAGTTGAAATGGCTTTAGATTTTGCGGATCTGAAAACTATTTCAAAGTAGATCGATTGCTTAAGTTTGTTGACGTGGAACATAAGTTTACTAGAAAGAAGGGTAATATTGATCTTACTTGCAGCTCAATTAATTTTAACACTAATTAAATTTCAATTCTTATTCTTGTTTGTAATTATTTATGATTTGATATTATTTCTTTTTTAAACCAAAACATTGCACCAAAAATTAAAAAAAAAACGGCACAATTCACTTAAGTAAAGTATGTTAAGAGTAAATTGCCAATTCAAATTTTTCATCAAACAATGCTGAAAAAGTAAAATATTGTATGTCGTCTAAAATAAGGGAATAAATTTTGTGTAAACAAGAAAAAAACTAAATATTAAATTGATGTAAATAAAAATTATGTACATCTGCTGTTTACGATATCTATAAATGATAAATTAATGCATTTTCAGCGTAAATAAGTTTGTGATGCAGATTTGATATCACGCTTTTTCTCTCTATAATATTCTTTTAAGTTATCGCAAATATAATTTTGAAACCAAATTGACAGAATTAAAATCTCATCATATTCAGAACAAAAGATACATTGAAATTTTTACTTAAATTTTGAGAAAATTCTTGATAAGAGTTTTGATAACAAAAAATAATCTCCTCCAAAATTCTTGTAGAATTTAACATGAAATAGAAAAATGCATTGCGTGCCAACATTACAATCTAAACGCTGCTATTGCTTTTAATATTAATACACTTTTCTATGAGCTCAAATCCACCGTTATAACAATGTTTTCCCACAAAAGAAAAAAAGGTTTTGACTCTTTCAAATCCAGCTGTCCGTCTGTAGACACACCACGTTATTTTGCCACGGCACTTGGCACACGGCACTTTCCAATTATTCGGACTGGCATGACACGCTTTAGAATAAATTGTGGTGCAACGTTTTGATTTACGAGAGTGGAAAAAGAGCTGACACGGAGAAACAGCCAGCGAAACATTGCCGTCGTTTCTGTCAAAAAAGTTTTGTATAGTCCTCTTCCCGTTTCCATTGATATGAGAACACAATCGACTTTGATTTACTGCTCGGCCCCAAAACTAATTTCCAAGCCTTACTGACGTCACGCATTTTGCAAATTAAAATTTCCCCTTCAAACGAAAGTGAAACTGAGCAAAATAGGAACTCACCTTGCCGCACTGGCGACATTTGCCCTTCTGCGAGCGGCGATGCACCCAGTGGTGCTGGATGGAAGTTTGTTCCCGGTACTGCCGCACCCCCACGTCCCGGAAGGTCGGTTTGCACGTGAAGTTCTGTCTGTCCAGCAGTTGCGAGATGCAGCCCGAGTGAGCCACGATTCGGCACGCGGCGCACTTGAGTCTTGGTCCATGCCGCTGAAAGGAAACATAAAGTTTTGAAAACATTTTAGAATTGGTTATTAGTTTGAAGACAAAAAGGTAAATCGAGGTGAACATAGAAAATTTAGGATGATTATTTATTGTTTGTCGGTTCATTGACTCTTTTTTACTATTGATTACTGGAAATACAGGTGCATTCATAGAAGAAATTATAATTAACAAAATGGCATTGTCCTGATATAGATAGATGATAATCTATCTTTCGTTATTTATTTGATTTACATGTTTGTAATAAACGATTAATAAAAATGGAATTTTTGGCAAATATTTTGAATTATGATTGTTTAGCATAGAGAAAAAAATCCTAAATTAATAAAAAAAAAAAAAAAAAAATAAAAAATAAAAGAATGAGTTAGGTCCATCCACCTCTCGGCGAGGCTAATGACACGGCTTTAGATTATAATTGAACTTTATAAGCATTCCATTTGCAGTGGCGGTTTATCAATTAAATACATCCACTGGCAAATAAATCAATTTTATCTGAACTTATATACTTTGAAATATCACAATATACACAATGCAAAGTTATCATTGTTACAATCCAGTTTAATTTGTGCTATTTTCCTAGAATTGAGAAGTTGCTTGGCAGTAACGAAACACAGCTCCCGCTTTGCCGCACCTTCAGTTTTAGATTTACGACTCCCATTAAACTTGGAAAGCTAATCGGGTCGCGCTCTCCGCTGTTATTGTTTAGGGGAGAGAAAATTATACCTAATTTATGTGTCACTTTTACGTCCCATGGGATGGAGTTAAAATTTTGTAAAGTATTCGTGGCGAAATAAAAGCATGAAAACGTAATTTTGAAAGATAGGGACAAATATATTTTACGACTCTCCGCGGGGGAGAAAGCGACAGGCATTGCTTGTTGTTGGTTCTCTTCTTCTTTTTTCGATCACGGAATTGGCGCTGCGCCCAAAATATATAACTTTCTCAGCAAACAAATACGCGATGCATGCGCCCGGAAGAAAACAATAAAAAGAACTTGGGCAATAACGTTTAAACTCGCATACAGGAATCATTATACAGATTCATAAATATTTTACGACGCGCAGCGCAGGCAATTGGAAATCAAAACAAAAGGAGAGCGAGAAATTCTTGCAAGAGAAGTTTGCGCTTGAATGAGAACTAAAGTGAAGATGGGGAAAGTTGCAAAGAAAAGCAATTCTCGTCTTTTGCATTATGCATATTTTCAAGCGCCACGATATGATCTTTCACTTACAATAAATGAAATATCGGATTGAAAATATCTTCAATACAGTTATTTTAAAGGATGTGATTTTTGAAAATTAAAAAATGAATGATCTTCTATTCAGTACTCTTTCCGAGATAACCATTTTGAAAGCAATCTCCTCAAATGAATTACTACATAGAAAATTGCTCAATATTTTGATAAAATAGGATTTTTTTAAGAAAGTTATAAATTTAAACAAACATAAAAACCAAAATCATGATTTTTCAATTTAGTTTTCAATTTAATATTTATTATTTACTTAATTAAAAATAAAATTTAATAATTTTTATTATTTATCTATTCAATATTTGTCAGCACATAATGTCTTTCTATGAATGTTTATTGATTAAAACCCAAGAATTTTTTAACATTAAAAAATTCAAACATATAAATATGCAAATTTTTTCAGCTTTAATACTGACTGCGACTTTGTAGTTCATTGGAAATTATAAAGAGGTATAAATGAGAGACAAGGAAAGTGGATGGCGTGGCAAGATGAAATTCAATTGTGCGTATAATTGGCGGTGGAAAGGTTGGCACACCTAGTATTATTACTCACCTGACATTCAGAATCTCCAACGTAGCAAAGGTCACCAGACGCCGAGGTCGGCACCCACAAATGGTCCCCATTGATCGCGCCATCGCCCCAGTCGGGAGTGGAGCGCAGTTGGCGTTCGCCAGCAGGTGCCGACTCCCCTTGCACAGCTTTTCTGCAATCACGGAACAATCCGTTAAACTCACATCAAAAGTAGCAGCTGCAGTCTCTCGCATCAGCCACATGTATCAAATCCGGGGAAAAGAAAATATTACACAACACAAAGGGAAAAAGATGGCGGCCGCAAAGGAAATAAATGAGACCCCATTAAATGCAAGCGGGGGAGCAAAGTGCAGTTTCCGGAGAAAAGCAAGCAATATTCTTTTTAAAACTTCAGTTTTCCTTTTCAAGAGAATAAAACTTTCCGATTTGAATAACTCCAACGTAACTTTTCCATTCTCAGAAATTGAAACTAACATAAGGGAACGCCTCCAATCGTCAGAAACTGTTTTCTAGTTTCTGGAAAATTAAATACCTGATAAATTAATGAATGCTGATGGTAATTTTTCCAAAGCCACCCGCAAAACTATAATAATGCAAATGAAGTGAAAATGACATGACATCATTTGAGGGATTTAAAAATTAGAAATAGTTTGAAGAGTGTCGTCTGCAAAATTTACTTTTGAAATGGTTTTATTCAATTTTCAACAAATATTATTTCAGCCGAAAAAAAAGTTACATTTTAGGATATTTTTATTTAAACAAGGAATTAAATTTAAAAGCTTGCTAACCAAACATTTAGTTTGCACTTATAATTAAACTTCAAACCCATTCCTCAATTCAGGGGGTGAGCATTAGGATGAAGTTAGTTCACTTCCTTATCCAATTTATGCACTGAAGATTAGCGATGTTCCCTTCTCAAAATAACTCTTCCTGCGTCACCGTTCCCATCCTGGTTAGTTCCAGATCTTTTGTTTGAGTGTCAAAAGTTTTCCAGCGAGAGTTAAATTAACATATCAACTCTCACCGGGCTCATTTTCCCAGCTTCAAACATTTAACTTTTTGCTCCGGAGGAATAAATGCAAAACCGTCGCGGCCAAAGTTTTAAAATTTTCCCGGCATTAATTCATGGACGAATAAGTTTGCTAATGGCGTAATGATGTTGTTTGCGCGTCAGGTGCGGGTCGGGGCCACTTTGTGCCCAGCAAGTTGGTTCGCACGCAAATAATCAGCGCCCTTTGAATTCGCGCGTTGTGTGGCAACTTTTGCGAAACGAGCGAGCGAGGGTTGCGCAGACGTTTCCATTCACGGCGCAGCAACATTTGTTTGCTCGCGCCCAAAGTGGAAAACGAAACAAGTCTGACTGAGTAATGGAGATGAGGGAAAGGGGGAATGCAACAAATTTGTTGTGTGCTTGTATGGCGTGCCTCTTGGGGAAAAGTTGCGCTGCCGACGGGAAAATGCTTTTTTCGTGTACAAATGAAAATTAGAAAACTTTTGCGTCAGGGTGTCGCAACATAATTTTCAATTAACATTCCGTTGCTATTTTAAATTTCATGCTAAATTTTTGCTGTACCAAAAAATTTTAAAAAATGAAAAAAATTTTAATAGTTAATTTTTTACAGAATTTTGGATGCTTCGGTAATTTATTGTATTAATATACAAAAATGATTTTAACTAAACCTTTTGACAATTTGTCTATTTAGTAGAAAATTACTCATTTAAGTGGTCGCCTATTTTCCTTTTCTGTTATTAAATCCATCGAAAACCAGCGGTTGCTAATTTGAACTCGTCTGTGATGCAAATTTCTTTTTTAAAAATCTCATCAATTGGGGAATAAAATCTGTCATTTTATAAAACACACAAACTTTGGGTGCTTAAAGTAATCAAAACAACCAAGATTGATGATCAGCAAATTGGAAAGGAAAGAGTCTAAAAAGTTTACCAAAACATTATTCATATTTAAAATCACTCCTTTGCACTTAATGTAGCAGAAAATAATCCGCTCGTCCGCTCTTTTAAAAATATTTTCCATAATGCGCAAGCAGAGGATTAAACTCCCATTAGTCCGAAGCTTATGCCTGATTTTTGGAGTTGCAAATCCTCACCCATCATTTGGGAAAAAAGCAACGAGATCGCACTCTTCTCGTGTTTTTCCTCCTCCACTCAAGGCTGCCGTCAGCACTGTGGAATTCGTTTTCGTTTTTGTTCGTACGTGCATGTTAGCAGAGTAGTCAAATCGATCGCGAAAAGTGGCTGATGAGGTCGAGGGTCCGACGGCGGAAGAGTTGTAAAGGAAGAGAAACGATCGGATCCAATCGATCTCACCAGATTAGCCCGTGGAATTTGTCTTGGTCGGTCAGTCGAAAGGGTTGCTCGGCACCCCGAGACCTAATTTATCAAGAGAGGGAGTTGTTCAAAAGAAGGAGTTCGTCGCAAAAAGGACACTTTGTTCTTTTTAATTTCCTTCGCCTCCGAGCAGTTAATTTGGGCCCTCTTTGTTTCCAAATTGAATTTCTGGTTAGCGCCATCAATTTGTATTCTGCAAGCTTTGAAAGTAGTGTCGCCCTTTTCCCCAAATTGTGTCCACGTGCCTGCAGGCCATCACTTTGTTCGCCGTTTTATACTTTTTTTCGAGGACACCATACTTGATAGGAAATTTATTTGGTGAGAAAAAACCAGCTGCTTCTGCCTTTTAATTTGTGAGAAGTTCCTAATCAAATAGACTGTTGCCGTTGGTGCAAATTTGATAATGTAACTTTGAAATTATTATATTTTTTCGGAACAATATATTTGTGATATTTTTTATTTTACTGCAAAAATATTCAAAATAACAAATAACTAAGATATAATTCGCAGGATTTTTGTCATTCAGCCTCCCTAAAGTAAAAAAAGGGAGGCGTGAAATTGATTTAGTTGGTCTGTTAAAAGATCAATTTTTGAGGGGTCTTTGAAAGTTGTTAATTTGAATTATTTTCCGTAGAATTAGCTCTTTGGAGAGCAATGAATGCCAATTATTACTTTTGTGAACAAAATTGAAAAAAAAAAACATAATAAAATGAAAAATAAAAAGTCAATTTTTTATATTTGTTATTGACAATTATTTCATAATGAGTTATTATCTTTTAAAAAAAATGCTGATTTAAAAATACTTTGTATTCAAAGTCTTAATTAAAGCTAACTAATAGTTTTTAAAATTGTGTGCAAATCATAAAAGTTGTCTGATTATTTCCTCCTGCTAATTCATTCAAATAAAAAATAACCATTTTCCTCTGCTATTTCTCTAAAGTATCAAAGACGTCAATTTTCCCATTTTCATGACACAAAGTGATAAAATTTGAAATGATAAACAAATTCAGAAAACAAGCAGCTCAACAGGTTTTCGCATGGCAAATCTAAATAACAATCAATCAATCGTTCACCGCACACTTTTATTTCCCCGTCGATTTATTTTTCAATTGCCAATTTCCATCCGAATCACTCTCTCGTAGTTCACGAGGGTGCATTATTTTTCCTCGTCCCTTTCATCAAGTGGAGCAACAAAAAATTTTAGTAACAATAACTGACGGCAATTTTCCATTGGTTTTTACGTTCTTGAAAAAGTAGCCAAGGCGTCGTTATGGAGGAGAATAAAATTACCGCTTGCGCCGGGGGTTAAAAATAAGTTACGAGTCGTTCGTCGGAGCGAAAGGGGTACATAAAAAAAACTCCTCTTCAACTTGCAGCTTTTCACGGGGAATTCAAATTATACGACGGAAAAGGCGAGAGAGAAAATTACCCGAGACAAAGTGAATAAACCTCTTTTGTTCTTAACTTCGCTTAAATTATGTCAATAATGTACATGTAAATAACGTACATAGTAAAATCAATTATTAATACATTTTGTGTTGTAAAAAATTTAATTTGCAAAACCTAATTGAAATACAATAAATTTATCCCATTTTATTATGATGATTTAAAAAATTAAAATTGAAATATTTTCATTTCATAAAATTAAAATTCGTTATAGTCAATTGATTAAATTCAGATCTGTTTTTGATAACATTTAAGTCAATTTTCTTCAATAAACAAATTTAATTTTTTTTTAAATATTAGTTTTTTTTATTTTTAAAGTAAGAATTGTTTAAAATATATATCAATTTTTTAAGCTTCCCACCAGGTTATACTTCAAGATTGGCTCTGGATTAACCAGATATATAAAAAAATTTATTTACCTCATTTACTAATTTTCCTTTTTAGGTACTATTGGCAAGCCACGGACAATTATTGCTTGTTTAAATTTTCTTTGCAACCAATCTACTTTCATGAGCTGCCGGATAAAAATTTCACATGTCATAATAGTTGCGCAACCAAAATTAAAATCATTTTTTTCAGCATTGAAAAAGTTTTGAACAACTCGATTAAATATTAAAAGCGCCGCAGTTGCGCTGACGCCGAATCAATTTCCAATTCAGTGCCTTTAAAATTTCATCATCAACCCCAGGAAGCGACGAAAATAAAAAGCGGCGCGCACTTTTATCCTGGTGACGGCACAGTCGATCTGCGGCTCCATTCAGGTCGATTTTATCGCGCAGAGGTTATTTTTAGCCGAGCGAGCCCTCAGGGAGTGATTCGAATTTAATTTAATGTCGCTATGAATGGAAGTGCCCGTGTGCGGCAAAATCTCTGTCACTAAAAATTTCTGGCTCCCTGCAGCGCGCCCTTGTCAAAATACGCGTGTTCCCGACGCGCAAAATGAAAGGCTCTCCTCGACAAACATATCGATCTCCGGCCACCGGCTATTTTGCTTTGATCCGAATCGAAAGCGTGCAGCGTGTTTGTTCTGATCCAAGTGAAAGGCTCGGTTGTAAACGAAATTGACGGGCTTTGTCGCCCGATTTGAGCCACTCGGCTTGTTTTCACCGTCCTTATCACTTTCTTTCGATTCACTATTATGACAAAGATTATGCTAATTCATGTGTAAGAGCCTTGAACGAATTTCATTATCTCATCAAGTCGTTCCACTCTATTGATTAAATTAAGTCTTACAGGGCTTAAAATGTATACACATGAAATTAATTAATATAAACATGATTTACAAGATTTATATTATTCTTTTAAAAAAATATCTCCATTGGGGATGAGAAAAAATCTTAAATAAAATAAATATTATTTTATTATGGCACGGTCTTACTT